TGTCGGATCAAGATCCTTATAAATCTCCCAATACTAACTTCGACGACGGGGAAGAATAAGATTTCCGCTGTCGGATCTAAGGACTCTCTAAACCTCCCCAATACTCAGAGATCCAGGGCCGAGGACGGGAAAGAACAAGATTTCCGCTGTCGGGTCTAAGAATTCTCTGTATACTTCCTAAATTGGTTTTGAGCGCGGGGTACCCATGGGGGACTATTCATGGGGAGAGTGGAGCCCATATGATCCCGCGAGCTACAAAGTCTGGGACAAATCCTCCTGAACTACAATTAGCTAACTGTCTATACTCACTCTCGAGCATCACTAATCTGAACAACATGTCGGAGACTCATAACAAGGTCGATATAGAGCTTATCGAGGGCGAGACATCGCCGCCGGCGGAAATCTATCCGGATGCCACGTCTGGAGGCGCAATTGTCAATACAGGTTTCCAAGCGCCACGTCCGAAACCGAAATCTGAGCATGAGAAGCGCCTTGTGCTTAAGCTCGATTTGGTCGTCCTTGGTCTATGTTGCCTGATGTACTTCGTGGCTTACCTGGATCGGAATGTACTCGGCAACGCGCGTCTCATGGGTATCGAGAAGGACTTACATTTGACTGCGAACCAGTTCTACAACTGCCTGACTATGTTCTTTGTTGGATACATCATCTTCATGCTTCCAGGCAACATTCTCCTGCGACAGTTCAAGCCTCCGTACGTGTTTGGAGCTTCTGTGTTCTCCTTCGGTGTCTTCTGTGTCGCCATGGCAGATGCACAACACTACGCTACCATCCTAGTCCTGCGAATCTTCATTGGTACAGCGCAGGCTTTCATCCAGGGAAGTAGTGTATACTTTGCCTGGTTTTATATCAGAACTGAACTGGCCACACGGAATGGTAAGTATAAGGCCTCGCCATCTCCCTGAAAATCACTGACGTTCGGCTTAGCGATAATCTTCTCTTTTGCAACCTTGGCTGGGGCATTCAGTGGATTGATTTCCTACGCCGTCAACAACCGGCTCACTGTCGCAAAAACTGGTCTCGAACCTTGGAGATGGCTTTTTATCATTGAAGGCTCAATAGCGATGTTTGTTGGCTTGTTGACTGTCGTTCTTCTGCCTAGTTTCGCGGATCAGATGAAACATGGGAAGAACTGGCTGTTCAATGAGTCAGACGTTCGACTTCTAATTGAGCGAGCTAAGCGCAACAACACAATGGGGGCTAAAGTCGAACTCAGGCAAATCTGGGTGGCACTGTTGGATCCCAAGTCCTATGTTTTTGCGCTCGTTCAAGCTGCAGTCGGCTTAGGCGTGTCTTCCGTTGGGAATTTCCTACCCACTCTTGTGGCCGACTTTGGATATTCAAATGGTACGGCTTACCTTGCATGCTAGCCTCATCCGACCCACACTGACAATGTTGAAACTACAGACCAGGCACAGCTCTTCACTGCCATACCTTATGTCTGCGCCGCAGTGACCACTGTAGGCATGAGCTATATCTCGGATCGCCTGAATCGTAAGGGAGCGGTGCTGATTTTCACACTCGGCATAACTAGCATTGGGTACATCATTCTACTATCGGTGAACAATGTCCCGGTCAAAGTCTTTGCCACATGCCTGCTTACCATGGGACTGTACCCCAGCGCCACTATCAACGCAGCCTGGGCAGGGATCAACATTGGAGGCTTCACCAAACGAGGGAGTACCTGGGCCCTGGCTGAGATCTTTGCTCAAGTCTTCTCCATTATGGGCACGCACGTGTACGACTCTCCACCCCGTTTCATCAAGGGACATGCCATCTGCCTAGGATTTTGCCTTAATGCAATCCTGTGCATTTTGCTGGGCATGTGGTGGATGAATCGTGCGAACAAGATGAAAGATCAGGAAAGGGGAGAATTCCAGGCACGCCAGGAGCCACACCCTCACGACGAGAAAACTCTCGAGGATGTTTTTGATTATCATGTAGCTTTCAGGTATACTCTCTAGTCGACAACTTCGAGATCCAGAGTCTCACAAATAGGTACCTCAGAATCCCTACCTTCTGCACCAGAATCAGGTGGGTGAAGTGGGGCAGGCGAACATAGTGTTATAGACAAGGCTATCAGGATAACCTACCGATAAGAATCTTCTGGCTCTTAATTTAGGTCATAGCGCCTTCTCTTCGCTTCCCAAGCATTAAGTCGTTATCTTAAGGAACTATAGATAGCCAATACTATGCAGAGGTCCATCCTTCAGCGCATACCGTGTGGCGTAGGGTCCATGCACGCCTCCTGGGCTCGATTGTAAACGGCTGGCTAGGCTTTGCAACTTACAGAAGGGATCCCGTTCCCTCTCCCAATGAAATTATGACGTAGTTCAGCTCCATTTGTGTATTTGCACACCAGCTTTCTTTCATGTTCCGGATTCCTTGAATCGACAATACTGGTCGTCCCCTGAGCCCGAGCTGCCTTCTGCATATGGGCATCAGATAGCCCAACATGAAATCACTCGCCAAAATCCTCGCGAGCAAACAAAATAGAGAGGCAGCTGCAGCAAGCCTACGTGCCTCCAGCAGCACTCCAACGTCTGGCTTGGCCTCTGCCGAAAACTCTACCGGCGCTTCCTTTGCGAGTAGCGAGATCCTGCCATACCTAGACAGCTGCTTTGATGATCTCAACGCCCACGAGGGTAGGAGTACCTACCTTTTCTGCCCTTTGTCGTTTATCCCTGACTATATGACCCGGCAGGAGACTTCAAAACCCAGATCCGAGCGGTTGAGCAAGCCCTCTGCTCCAAAGCCAGCAGGTATTCCAACGCGCGGCTACCGGAGGGGGTTGGGGACATCTGGCAGGCGTACGTAACTGGCCTTTCCATTGATGATGGTCACTTCTTGACGCTGCATAGGAATACAGAAGTTCTGGACCAAGTGCTTGTGGCGGTGGAATGCGCTGTGAGAGTTTATGACGATGATTTCCCCTACATGAACGCAGACAGGTTCTCCTACAAGACCGCGGGCTTGATCTCTCCGTCCCATTCAGGCGTCGTCAAAGCCACCAAATTCATCGAGGTCAGTGACGGCTCAAACCAAAATCCCGATTTCCCTGCACTCGTCGTGGCTGTTAGAGGCACTCGCATGCACTTTGTTGTCGACTGGTTAGTCAACTTCAACCATGAGCTTCGAGATACAGCGGACTTCTTGGTATGTATACTGTTCATAAACTACACAGTACTTGTTTATTAACTGCTGCAGGACCTGAAAAGCCTTGTGGGAGGGCTACCAGAATTTGACCTGAAAGTGCATTCGGGCTTCTTAAACGGTGCCCGTGCTTTGCAGGCAGATATCGAAAAAGAGATCTTGAAGTGTCGGGAATCTACCAACATCCGACATGTTATATTCACGGGTCATTCCGCTGGCGGGGCTGTTGCATCTCTCGCATATCTTCAAGCTCTAGGAGTAGCCACCACTCGATGTATGGGTGTGAACAGGTTTATCAGGAATCGAGACTGACAACATCTAGATCCCGGAATGCGCTTTTCACTCATCACTTTCGGTGCTCCTCCAGTCAGTACGCCGTCCCTGGCCCCAACACTTGATGCATTCAGTGCGCGATGGGTCCAGAGGCAAGCGACACCTGGACTTGCTCTAGCAGTTGTAAACGAGGACGACTTGGTTGCGAGGGCCGATCGGAGCTACATCATGTCTCTGCTGAAGCTCTATGACATTACAAGAACGTCAAGCAGTTTCCAGTCTACTGGGACACCTTGGGTCTTTCCAGAGCCCGACGTTCATACCATCGGGGATATATTGGTGCTCAAAGAGAACCACGAAGATGAACCGGCCAGCAATGTGGAGGCTTTTCGTGTGGCTGCAGAGGCGTTCGAACAACTAATATTCTGCGACCGGGTGATGCACCAGAAGGAAACGTACCGCAAACTTCTTTGGCAGCTGAGATCTCGATATGAGTCCCATTCATGACCTTCAGTAGCACATACCGAGGGTCCTGATATTGACACCTACTTTTCGTATTCTAAGAAGGGCGGCAAATGAGTCAATCTCGAGCTATCGTTCAGCTTCGCGACGACTAGTTGGGTAGGTCAAGCCTCAGTCGTCATCATGCAGCTCACAAACACTATCCTTCAAGCCGGACCATTTTCTTGACTCAGTTGCAAAAGCCACGAAAGGTCAGCAGACACCACGATTGACTCGGTGCCAGCCTGATCTCAAATACTGCAATGCTCTGCAATAGTTCGTCCGACACGTATGACCACGGTATGAGAGCTCGACCACCGAGAAGATGTCCCAGTCCGACAAACAATCCGACAAAGCACATAAGGCCCTGGAAGGGTTTCGGCTTTTCAGATAGTTAGCAACGTTTTTCGCATAACCCCATGTGCACATCAGGCTGACCTTTGGTAGCATCATCCGATTTCTGCCACTGCTGATCCTCGGATTGATTGTCGCCTTGACTGTGATCCTCCTTGTCGGATGGCTGGTCCTTTTGGTTGCCTTCGCGTTGGCTGGCTTGGGCGTCATTTCCGTGGCTACGGCCAATGCCTTGAGGAGGGCTATTCTGGCACCGGTGGTATTCTTGTACCAACTAACCCGCAAGATCCTTCGGCGGCGGCGGACGCTCGAACCAGTCAAGCGAGCACGGATTACGCCTCTCAGCGACGCAGAAGTGACTTCTTTTCAGACCACGAACAATCCTGGTCTGCAGGTCCTCCTGCTGCAGCAGAAAGCCGGCGGTTCCTGCCTGATGCTGGCCTATAGCCACTACGCGGATTATATGCGACTTTTCGGTTTGTCCAAGTACGTCCGACAGGCATTGCAATCAAGTGTCGACCATGGTGTCGAAAACATCCGGAAAATGACGTGCAGCGTTGGGGAGAAGAGTGAATGCTGGGCATGCCGGGGACAAATCTGCTCGGTGAGCCAAGCTCAAGGATAAAACCCCTGCTTGACTTGGTTTCTTACGCTTGTCCAGACATGCACGGTTCCTCGTGAAGTCGCCAGTCCTGGTACATCGCACCACCTGGACGAATGTGAGACCATCTGCTCGCGATGCTACTTGGGGCATCTATACAGCAAGTCGAAGCGATTCAAGCCATCAAAGGACCAGCAATGTTCGCATCGAGTAGTGACAACGGACATATCCACCCCCGAGAGAGGAATCTGCTCGTCCTGCGCGCTAGACGGGGATGAAAAGATTGTGGTGCGGAGATGGCGGAAAGAACTCATGGAGCTGATCAACATTGAGGCAGCAAGTGTTGCATGCTGGATGTGTCACAAGCATATGCGCTCCGGCACGCCACGCTGGTGGATCTGTTCGACCTGCGGCAACGACTGTACCAGTTCTTTGCATGCTTCTTGGGTCGAGGTCAAGCCTCGCGCGCCGACACTCGAGGTCTTTGAGAATTGAGTGGCGACGAAAAGGGAACATATATGATCCTTGACTGCTAAGCCCTCTCGTGTTTGAAAGCTTGATATTTATGGCCTTGCAGGCTTGCCAGTTGGTCCACGAATACCAAAGTAGAAGTAAATACCTAGGTAAGTACCTGCCTAGGTAAGTTTGATGAACCAATGGAACGCTCCACGAGGCATTGACGTTCCGCATGCAGCAGCATGCCTACCTAAGTACCTCCTCGATATGTAGCGGCGTGCCTTGTACGGTTTGCCCGCTTGCTTTATTATATATGCTATCACAATACTTACTCCGTGCCCAGTATGAAAAGGGGGCATGATGAGATGAGTTGAGATGCATCATGCGGTTATAGATCTTGAATGCCGTGGTCAAGAAGCGCAACACTTTGGATACCTCGTTCGTATAACCTTAGGTATACCGGGTTGATTCCCCGTTCGCGTTCCCATGGCTTTGCAGTTTGCATATCCTACCTACCTATCTACCTACCTAGCAAATACCATTCCCAGGCCCATCCCTCTCCGCAAAACCTCGCTTACGAAAAGTTACACTCTCACCCTCACACTGCGGTCTGCCTCTCTGCCTCTGCACGGACACAATGGCCCTCAAAATCACTCACCCCCTTGCGAAACCCGTGCTCGAATTCCCAGCCCATGGGACACGATTTGGGATGCGACACTCGGGCTTCACGCATGCGTTTCAGAATCCAGAGATCTAATGCGCCGATCGTGTCTGCGGTTATCACTTGGTTCTCGTCCAGAAGCGGTGGAGGAGGAGGAGGAGGGGATTCATGATCGGGAGCCATAGTCGTCCCGTCCCCCCAAGGAATATAACCGTGCAAGCGTGCCGCAAAGAAATCTCGTGCGTCGGCCCAGCCCAGTTCCCAACCCTGGGTGTACAGCCGATGTTCGAATTTCGCTCCGGGAGCCGTGGTCTTCCAATACTCGGTGTGGGTCCTTGTGGCGTTGGACGAGAGTGACGACTTGTTTTCGTCCGCGCGCGCAAGCCGGGATTTCATCGCTGCGACCGTCATGGCCGATCCCCTTGAGCACACCACCTGTCCGGCATCGACGGATGCTCTAAACCCCCATTCCCAACCGGGCATCCAGTCCATCTTGAAGGTCCAGAACGCCGCGCCCGACGCTCTGCTCTGCCATTTGTGACTCTGAGCCTGTCCAAATTGCCGCATCAACTCTGGTTTCTGATCTTCCGGGGCTTTGCTCCATGTCTGTGGCGCCAGTGCGAGACTGTACTCGCCGACGAACACGGCCACCGCAGCTTGGTGGGAAAAGACATCCCCGACAAGAGTCGAGTCGAGTTCGTGCAGCTCTTGTGTCTTGACTTCTTGGATGATCTCGTAAGGGGAGCGCGACGTGTCCTTGGCGTCAAAGGTCCAGTATTTGTGCGTGTCCACGATCACCGGGCAGCTCCGCGTTTCCGGGTTGTTGTACGCTCGAGTGAAACGTACGGCGCGACCCAAATCCCACCCGTCGCTGATATAGATCGGTAGGGACGAATCCAAACGGGATATCTGTTGTATAACGTCGTTGTACCACTCGTACATTCCAGGCGGGTCGAAGATGGCTTCGTTGCAGACCTGGAGTCCAATTACACCGGTCAGCTGTGGGTCCCGGGAGACCTCCTCCGCAATGAATATCAGACATCGGGTCGCAAGGTCGAGGTTGGACGGGTTGGCCCATAGCTCGGCCTTGCCGCTGCTCGTGCCGGAGTGTGTCTCGCGATTTGCTCCGCCGGGAACCCCGTGCAGGTCGATGAGGACACCGATGCCGCGCTGGAAACATCGCCAGACCAGGCGCTTGACGCCGGACCATGCGTTGACATAGACTTGCGAAGGCTCCATGGCGAAGGCCGTGTTGGCACAAAAGGCTGGTCCCAAGGTGAAATAGCCGATGGGCAGCCGAATTGCATTGCAGTGGGCCGAGTCGACGAGCCAGTCGAGGTCCGAATCGGTGAGAGCGTTGGCCCAGTGAGCCTCCCATTTCTGGCGGGTTGCATCGAGGCCATGAGCGGTGATGGACCTGATCCAAGTACTTTGAGTCAGTTGAGAAAACCCAATAACGTAGACCGTAAGAGACCCACGCAATCACGGCGTCAAGTTCACTGTCCCCCGAACAACTCTGATCGAACATGCTCCCGAACATCCATCGTTCGAGGACAAAGATCCCGCCGAGATTTGTGCCGTGTTGGTAGCGATATCGAAGGATGTCCTTGGGTGTCGGTGGAGTCGTTTGGCGGTAGTACTTGGAGGGGTGTACGTTGTCGAAACCCGGCTTGGAAGCTATAGAGACAGCCTTGTGTAAGTGCTATGCTCTGAACGAATAGAATAGATGGGGACGCAGAACTTAGAGGGTGTGTGTCTATCGTGGAGATTGAGATGGAGATGAAGAGAGCGTAGGTTGAAGTGTAGTGAGAAAACCAGTCAATCATTCAATCAGTCAGTCTGCCAGGACATCAAGCTCGACTGGTTCCATCCGGGAAACAAGACATACTCTCACTCTCACTCTCCCTCTCCCTCTCGATCTCATCATTCTTCGCATCCACCGAGACCGAGTCTCTAGCAGTAATGCCCTCAAACGCCTTTCTCAACGCCTTCCTCATGGCTGACCACCCGCACAACCACGTTTCATACACGAAAATAGAAAGTAAATGTCAAAAACAAAGAAGCAAGGTCTCTCACTCTCACGGCGTGCAACATCAGAGACATTATTATGGGTGACATCGTTCGCATCGGAGGTGGATGTGGCCTGCTTGCTGCGGCGGAATTGAGCGGCGCCTTCTTGCGCTTGACACGTCGTCGTCTCTTGGCTACTTAGGTATTGATTAAGCACATGAGAGTTGCAGGCAGGGTACTCGGTACCATCAATAGGCGACATCAAGGTGCATACCTTGCTCTTGCGCTTCTTGCCATTCATTCTCCTCGTCAATCACATATTGAGCGACCACTATCACCGCCGCCCCGCAGTCTCGCGTGGGTAGTCAAGGACCCATTTCACGCGTGTTGTTCTGTATACTCAAAATTACAGCGAATTAGGTATGCAAGCGAAAGGTTTCGTTCGGGTTGCCAACTGAGGCGCCTGGGGCGATTTGGTGGCTCTAGGAGACCTCACAGAGGCTATAGCCACGGAGACCGCAGTAGGACCCCAATAGCTCTTTGTCCATTTCTGACTTTATTCAACGTATCCCCACGACTGACTCCGTGGCGGGAATCTGGATCAATGAACGCTTCAGCCTTGCCTTGTCCCGCTCACTCGCAGACGTCGTCTAATGTCTTCACATGGCTCAATCGCTGCTCAACCAGGTTCTTACTCATAAGTCATCGACACAGGCACCTCAGAACAGAACATATCTGCTCTGTCCCCATAGCACTTGCTCTCCCCCCTCCCATGCAAAGCCATTCTGTGCTGTAGCACCTGATCTTTCGACCAAAAAACCAACCCACTGCATGTCAGAACCGTGCAAACCAGCGCTCATCTGTCCTGAAAACCAATCACGCCATGTATCTTCTTGAGATTCCGCGTCGCTCAAAACCCTGTCCTTGTGCTCCTCGTCCCAAGCAACCAAGAAAGACCACCAAGCATTCCCAATGAGGGTAGAATCACTTCATCAACAACTCCATCTGCTCTCTCCTCCTCGCGCGCATGGACATTGACAGACTCTGCTGCGCCATCGGGATGTCTTTGGCCTCGCTAATACCCAAGGGATCTAGGTCATCCACCAACGTCTCGGCAGGATCCCTAACTTCAACATCATTGCCCTCTTGTTCTGCCTCTCTGTTCCCCTCCGTGTCCTGATCCTGCTTTTGGCCTTCTCCCATCTGTCCAGACCTATCCTCAACCAGTTCCTGTGGCTTGATGGCGGGAGACAAAGTCGGGCTCGCTGGTAACGGGGCCGCTTGTGCTTGCTGCCCGTGCGGGAAATGGTGAATCATGACTGTGCTTTGATCTGATGTGGAAAGAATATTGGTCGCAGCCGAGTCGTCCTTAACGGCTCGAAGGCGGTCGCTCGTTTTCACGTCGTCGTCACGGTCTTTCCTCATCGTGAACTCGTCCTGGGGACCTTTGGAGCCCCTCCATTCCGGTTTCGGTGATGAAGCAATGGGGACGGGCGTTCTGGATCTCGAAACCGATTCTCTCGGCATTGGCGAAGCCGCCCGTGATCCCGACCGCGATGAGTCAAGAGCAGATCCAGATGGCACAGGCCCCCTCGCCCTATCCGCCGTCGGCTCATTCACCCTGGAATGCAACTTCGCCGAAAGAGAATTGGTCAATCCGACACTCGCTTCACTCGTCTCCAAACCTACAAGCACAGGGGTCCTAGCCCTGGAAACAGGTGCCGAAACAGAGGATGAGTAGTCAGCCTGTGACCCACCAGCGTCCGAGACAGACATCCACAGCTCGGTCCCTCCCCCTTCACTTGCACCATTAGTCTGCGGTTTGACTAGGGGTTGGGGTTTGGCATTCATTTCGTCGTCCGTGCGGCCAAAGAGTTCATTCCACCATCTCACCTCGTCGGGTTTGGGGAAGATGAGGCGTTCTTTGCCACGAACATTGTCGTCGATCACCGGATCGTATTTTGGGTTCAGAAACTCCTGTTTGCGGGCGAGAAAATAATCCCACACACTTCGAGTGCGCTCACTGAGTCGAGCTTCTTTGCGTTGCTTTTCGTTGTCGCCGAGGAATGTTCCGTATTGGCAGGAATATAGATGAAAGAGGAGACGTCGAAGGAACCGCTCAGTAAACTCGAAGCGGGTCGGATATTGGTACAGCAACTGATACGTTGCGTCCAAAAACTGGTGAAAAACTGGGGATGTCTCCTTGACCTTTGTGACGGGCTTCTCTTTCTCCTTCTTCCCCGCCCCAGACACGATCCGTCGTCCTGATTGCGACTCCGAGTCATAGTTGCCAGGCATGTCCGCGTCCGAGTCAACATTGATCGACTCTCTCGACTCGTTGTTCTTGTTGTTGGAGAAGAATCCCTTCGCGGTCAAGAATGCGTTTTCGAAGGTCGCTATGGGACCGCTCTTCTCTTCCTTGCCATCCACATCCTCGCTCCCCCTGCTGATCCGCTCGTTCTCGATCTGGAACCACTTCTCTGAGTTCAGAAATCCCGAACGGTGTTTGAACATGTGACCGAAGCTGAGCCAATCTTTTTCGACCAGTACCATGAACCCTTCCATCGTCCGGTAGTACGGATCAAGGCATATCTGGCTGATAGATGACAGCTGGCTTGTTCTGTCCCAGCCATCACTGCAGTGAATTAAGACGTGGCTGTGTTGCAACCCGACTTGTCGAGCGATTAGTCCCGAGCCATCCAGTATAAGACCAATGTGTTTCAACCAATTGCTCTTCTGCAGCAACTCCTGATTTGGGCCCAAGGGTGTCAGATCCGAATCCTTGAACGCATCGATAACTTTCTGGAGACTATCTCGCATGACATGAATATTGTCGATACCCAGGTATGCCTTGGTAGCAAACTTGTAGTTACTCATGTCCTCAGAGCCCATGCCCTGGGTCTGCATAACCAGCGCATTGATGGTGGGACGAGCATCCACAATCATATTTCGCTGCTGTGCTCCGTAAACCATGGGCCTCCTGTCTTCTGAGCCTTCCGGCGCGTCATCGTCTCCACGAAACCTGGAAATGATGGCATCTTCAACGGCCTCGGCGTCTGCCTGCGAGACTTCATTATCCAAAACCACGGCGCAGTTGGTGTCTTTGCTAGACCCAGAATCCTCCCTTTCCGGCGGCGGAGAGTTGTAAGCAGAGAGTGGTCGTTCAGCCCTGGTCGTATTGAAAATTGCCGCCACGAGCTTTTCATCCTGAATGCTCCGGTTTCCTCTTACCCCGACAAGTGGCTGAGATGAACGAGTAATGGTACAATCGTTGACTGGGTGAAGATAAGTCAGAACCGGTATTCTCGCTCTGGAGCGATATCGCCCTGCATAGTTCAGAGTGTTATCTGATATATTTGCCGGGACGGCGAGGACGGCAGGGTACGTCGGAGAGAAGCTGTAATCCTTGTTGATGGTCGAGATCCTCCAATTTGTCTTGCGACTCTCGTCACCGAGACCCATTCGCCTCCACTCCCGCATGGGATCATAAAGTGACCAGCCCCTGCCGCCCACATCTTTCTCCGGTCCGGTCGGATGATATGAAAATGCATACAGTTTTTCGATCCCGCTCAACTTGCACGTCCAAGCTTTGACGCTGTCGTATACATCCCTGGCTTTCCGATCGTCATTGAAGTAGAAGCAATAAAACGTGAAATCGCGGCAGCGGAGGCGGATGGACGAGGGCTGTCGGGAGGCCGTGGGACTTGGTCGGAAGGTACAGAAGTGAATGATGGGGTACGTTATCCAATTTTCTCGGGGTCGAGTCGGCTTGCCGTCGGCGGTGGGAGGAGCGGCGTGGACAAAGATGAGGTGATGAGGTGTCAGATGCAACGTTCCGTTGACCTGGATTCCACGGCGCGAGAGGGTCACGTCGTCAACCTATGAAGACAGCTGTCAGTCTCATTGACCGGGGATACGTCGCGCGCACTCGGGAGCAGAATAGACAACCTTCGCGATACGAGTGCGCTCCATGGCCATTTTGGCGTTTGTGCTAGGCCAGGCGGCTGCCTCGCCTGACCATCGGCGGGGCTCGTGGGAAACGACGACTAAGCGACGTGAGGGGGCAGTGATCTAGCCAACTTGATATGTAAAGTTGAAAGACATATGAGGAAAAGAGATCATTTAATGAAAGGATCTGGAGGGAGGACGACAGTGAGGACGAGAGGAAGCACGAGCAGGTCGAACGAGCAGGTCGAACAAACAAATCCACAATCGACGTCAGACGTAAAACCGCCGCCAACGCCTCCGCATTTCACTTAGCGCAGCCTCGTCGACGCCATCAAACACCATCAAACACCATCAACACCGCCTTACCCACAGGGATCACTCGCAGTAGACACATGGATCAAGACAATGATACAGTGCAACATCGTCTGGACTACACCAAAAAGAACCTGTGGTTGTGCATCAAGTTTTATTCAACATCGAAAGCATCAGACAGAGGCTGTTCGCTCAGCTGTGCAAGATAAGTCTCCAGCCTCCCCGTGTAACCGCAATGTGTCCCTTACCAGGAACAATTGCCTTTCGAATCCAAGCCGTGAGCTTCAACTGTGGCCCTTCCCGGCGGTTGGCGGCGGGCGGGCGTGAGATCCGAGCGCTGCCCATCTCTTTGCCGCATTAGACCCCAATACAATCCATTCCTGTCGTGACTAGTTGTACAAATTGTTCGGAACTGACATTTTCCCAACATCCTTTTCGTGGGGGTTGGATGCCCCTTTTTCATGCACGCTGACCATTATCTTCATGGTTCTGCTATCCTTTGGACTTGCCCATGCCAGAAAAACGCCATGCTATGTTCAAAATGCTTTCACAATGTCCATTCTATTTCAGACATCAATCCAAAATGAATATGGCCGTGCCCTGCCCGCCTGTCCTGCATGCGTAGCTTTTACTCACAAGAAGTCGTCAATGTTCCGGAATATCTCGGGTGCTTCACCTTGTTGGTGGGGACTCCTAGGGTCAAACGGTGCTGGTATCTGACCCGCTACCGAGTATGGTGCTGGTTGCTGCACTTGCCGTGGGAGCAAGACTCCTCTTGTCACGTTCTTGCCACCACCATTGGTCATGCCAGGGTCTGCTGAAGTCGTGATGCCAAAGGGTGAAACCATAAATTCTGTGGCCCTTGGTGACAGAAGCGATGGTTCGTCGGGTTCCTCCACAGCGACATCCATTCTGGGCGAGCTGGTCACAATCCCTAACCTGGGCGTTTTCGAAGGATTGGGCGACTGCTGGGGAGGTGGTGAATCGAATCTTTCGCGGAATGGCAGTGGCCTTGGTGACACGCTCTGAGGAGGGCTTTGAGGACGTGGAGAATTGCGTACCTCAGTAACCGGTTCTGGGGCTGATGGTTTCGTGGGCTCAAGCGACTGCTTTGCGATACTGCCCAAAATCTGGCTTAACTTGGCTGGCGTAGCTTCTGAATTCGTCTTGTCCTCCCTGGGAAACAGCGGTACCGGAGGAAGTGCCTTATCGAGTCTCAACGGCGGCGGAGCTTTCTCATAAGGTTCAGAGACCAAAGCGCCCGTCTGAGCTGGAGCTCTCTCGCCGAGCCACGAAGATTGCTTGGCAATTGGTGTGTCCATGATAGGAGAGCCTGACGATGGTATCTTCCACCAACTTGGCTTGGGATTGTTGCAGTGGTCACCATAGACTCCTTTGACGACCTTTGATCGGAAGTCCGTCAACTGATAGATCAGGCTCATGTTGGGTCCTACCCATTCACTCCGTTGCTTCACCGCCATATACATGGAGTGAAAATCCGGTTGATAGCCTTTATATAAGCCGTACGCGATCACCAGTGAGGCCGAGCGACTGACTCCTAACTGGCAGTGTATTAAGACTTTTTTGCCCGCTTGTACTCTTTCATCTATTAGTCGACATAGGCAATACAGATCCTCCAGAATTTCCGAATTATGATCCCATGGCACATGCAAGTATTCGGGCTGTGGCCGTTGAGCGAACGAGTTTGGCCGGGGGGTGGTTGGCGTCGGGATTTCGTTGGGTTGAGGCCATTCCCACGCCGACTTGAACGACAGCTCCGAAATGGCTGTCTGCGGTTCCATCTCGAGTTTCGGTGGTCCTATTTCGAAAGGGTTCTTAATTTCCTTGGCAACATTTATGACCATGTCGAATTGGCTTGCCTCCTGCGCTGTTGGCTCGAGATACAGATAGACTCCGCTGTCGTATATCAGCACAGGGCCCTTCGGATATCCCTTTTCTTGAGTTTCTTGTGATCGCTGCGGGCGGAATTCGTCCTCTTCTCTCACCTCTGGGAGTTGAGGATTGGCCGACTGAGCCGAACTATTCGATTCTGTTCCAGATCCAGACAGAACAGTGCCAGAGGCAGGTAAATGCAGGAACAGCCCTCCTGGGGGAGGTTTCGTGGGAGAAGCCAGTGATGCGAGGGCAGGTGAAGAAGCCATATGGTGTAACGACGGTCTGGAGCTTGGTGTTGGAGGCACGTCCAATGCTCGGTTGAATGTCACCTGTTGAAATCCTGGGGTCCTGATTGTGAGATTGGTCGGCTTTTTCCGGCCTGTTCGAGGAGTGTCCTTCGAAGGCGACGCCGGAGCAGAGAATGCATGGGACTCGAATCCGTATGCAGTCGAAGGTCGGGGTAGCACCACCGCGCTCATGTTCAACGAGAGGTTCTTGACATTCTTGGGGAGCTCTGGAACCAAGGCAGGCTTCGGTAGAGGGCCGGTCGTGGCTTCTTTGGTCGGTGGTGCCGTCTGCTGTTGAGGAACTGTCGATTGTTCGGGTCTAACCATTATGTTCCTGAAAGGTGATACTGGAGCATTCGAGTTGGCTGATTCGGGAGATGAAGATGGTGAGGAGTCTGTTATCAGGGGAGAGTCAAAGGTTGAGTTGGTGGTCGTAGGTGAGGATTCCGTAGAGGCGGATGTCATGGAGGTGATGCTGTCTCGATGATGCAGCAAGAGAGTGGAGCGCTGCACGGTCGAGTCCGTAGGAGGATTTGCGTCGGTGACGAGTATCCGGGTGTCGCTCTCAGGTATTGTCTCCGGAGCGGCCGCCAACTCTTCCATAGCCTTCAAGATGCTTGTATCGGGCTTTCCAACAACTGACATGAAAGAGGGAAATGGTGTTGACATGATCGAGCCCACCTCGACCGGGGGCATATTCGAGTATTTGGTCGGGTAAAGAGGCGGTCGTCTCTTGCTTGAGGAGGCGGGGATTTGGGAGGATTCGAGTAGGCCTACTGGCAAAGCTGTCGAAGCTGAGCCATGTCGGACACAGCGGCGGATTGTACTCGTGACGTCTTGGTAGTTGTTGGCCAAGTCAAAGGACCTTTTGCGCTGATGATTGTTAGCAAGATAGTCCATTGAGTCTCTCAACATGATGACGAGTGGTGCTGACGAAGGCGCGGTGAAGGACCATGGCACCACCACATAAGTCTCACGAGGTTGGACAACAAGAGCTGGCGACGAGGATTTGGTACAGACGTACAATGGATAGTGGTCAGAGTTGAGGTCTCAAAACAATCCAGAAGAGTTTAATGGCGTCCGAACGGTCGATTGCGGCGCAACAACGGCGAGGCATGCGACACAAAACAAAAGCGAGAGGGATTCCTTGTCCCTGCTGCAGCAGGTCCCCTAGAGTGTCCCTGGGAGGAGGGGAGGGCGGTGGTTGTGTGCTGGATTTGGTCCTCCGCAGTTTCAGATTTCAGCGCGTATCCAAAGTGTGCGGCGCAGCAAGTCAGGCTTTCCTCCTTTGTCTCCTCCGTTCTCCGACAATGATGGCTCCACCAAAGTCACAGAGTGTAATACGGATTTGGGAATGTGGGATTATTTCCCTCGTGAGTAGCAGGCAGCAGAATCCCTCCTCTTGCGAAAGGTTGAATGGTGTATGCCGCAACGGAAACCCCGAACAGAGCAATGCGACCGGAAGGTCAATAAAGATTGATGCCGCAAAGGAGGGGGAGGGCCAGAAGACGAGTAGTCGCTGTCAACTCGGCGGCTTTTCGTTCAAATCAAAGAAACCGAGGACTGGCGGCAAAGCGAAAGTGGACTCTGCGACAGGTTGAGGCTTGAGGTCGAAGACCGGTGGACAAAGGGCAGGCTGGCAGGGTACTTGGTATTCGACGAGAGGTGGGCAGAGTCTCGAGTTTCGAGCACCGAGTGGAACCGGCGCCTTTGACCGACTGCGACTGGCAAATGAGCAGGGAGGAGGAACGCGCGATGGCGCAATATTGAACCGGGCCAGGTAGACGAGCCCACGAGGAAGCAGCTGGCTGGAGAGTGGAGAGGTTTTGCGATCGATGGTCTGGACGGAGGAGTCGAGCACGAGCACTATTCGCAGGTGTTGTTGGGGACCAGGGAGGATGGTTTTCCTTACAAGTTTGGATTGAAGGCGAATTGTACGGAGCAGCCCAAGTACCACCAGAGTAAGAAAATCGAGTCTGCCACTCAGCGCCGGCAACCTGTGGTGGTGTCCCTGGTGTCCCTGGGGTCTCCTCTGTAGGCGCTTGGACAATATTTGACCATTCTGGCACAAGAAGCGAATCACAATGACTTGCGCTGGTCAGGGCAGTGTTGGGGGGGGATGAAGGGGGCCAAAGGCTGAGACGGCGATTGGTTTGGGGGCACAAGGGGGGGATGCGGAGGCCACCAACCTGAAACGCAATGCCAATTGCCCAGGCCAACGGAGGCTCGCTAGGCCCCCGTCATTGCTTCTATTTCTGGCTCTGACCCGGGAAATTTGCCGCGCGCATCCACCTCAGGCTGCCCAGAGCCCAATGTCCAGCTGGCAGCTGCCCTCTTCTACGAGGTACCTAGGTACTCTGTACGTAGTTACACCTATTAGTGTCTGGGAGTACCGACTACCCTGTACCTACCTGGGTAGATATTCATAGATACCTGTAGGACCCTCCAACTACTCGGTGTAGCTCGTAGGTATGTATATCCATTGATCCAGACTCTCAACTTGCCCAATACTCTCCAAGAAAAGATGCAGGCTGACTCCTCTCGATCCCAATAGCTAGAAAGATGCATGCAATGCTCCCCAAAAAGGTGATCGCGAACAATTAATCTAAAGAGAAAGCTCCGAGTCCCCTGGCTGCATGCGCAACGATCTCCCACCTTTGTTAGAACAACAACAAAGGGAATGAAGATCAAAAACAGCACCAGACAAACGAAAGACCCCCTCTCCCCCCGTCCCCCACCCAGTCGCGCATGAGACCTGCAAGATTGCACTGCGTTTCAGATTGCTACATGCCACCCAGCCTTTCCCCCCAAGACCGTCCGTGCGCCACTTACTCCTTCGAGGCTGAAAGGCTGAAGGCTGACTGTGTCCCTCACCACCCACCCAATCCGGCCCCCTCCTTGGTGCCTCCCATCAAAGAAGGACCAGGCGTCGTGGGTCGTAGGTCGCAATAAATGCCCTGGTTGAACAATAATAGAACCTCTCAAGAATCAGGATTACCTCCTTTAGAAGCTGGAGCCTGACTAGCATACCTCAAGGTACTGGTGCACCCTGCTGAGCCAGGTACCTCCCAGGAGTTGACACCTCGACTCGCATGGGTCGCTTCTCATTGAGTTCATTGTCAAGAGTTCTCATTTCATTCTTAGAACCACCTCGTGAAGCCACGGCTTGTTAGCCTCTGGGCCTCATGCTCGGCTACCCAACAACATTATTGACCAACACGATACCAAAACGTGGCATTGACTCTCTCGCAAGGGAACGTGGTTCCGAGCTGAAAATAGGTAGGGCATGCTCAGGCGAGATCGTATCGAAATCCTTGGGCGGCCTCATGGCCTCGTCCATACGGGGTACTACCTTCTTGAATGAGATTGGGTATTTTCAAGCTCATTTCATGCGAGCGCAGGTATCCTGTCTATAATGCCAGTCCTTTCTTACGTGGGTTTGAACCCCGTCTCCCCGAAATAATCCATCCGAATTCAAAGCTACAATTGCTTGTTGGGGTATGTTTATTTTTTTTTGGAGCCCATAACGCCGTCGACTTTTCACGTTGTGACTGTCCTTTCCAGTTGTCTAGATTTTGCCGAGCCCAAAATTGCCAGGAGATTGACCGCCCAGTCTCTTCATGTGCCAGAGTGCCGGTATGAAATCGAAATCACCTCTGCCTGCCTGATGGAGGTGAGAGAATGTGATTCGATAGGAGAGAATGGGGAAAAGAGAACAAAGAGACGCAGAGATATCGCCGCCCAACGCCTGTTTCCCTCGCTAGAAACACCAGCCTTTCCTCATTGCTTTAGGGATTTTTGTGCATCCGACTTGTTCTTCAGGTACAGTTCCCCAATCCCTGGCTTGGCTTTGTTAACCTTCTGTCTTGCATTCATGGCTGCCGAATAATGTGAGAAAGAAAAGGAGGACCAGTCTCGGTAGTCTCGAGTCGGTCTGGACACCTCGACCACTCCTCTGGTGAGTTTCTTTTGAGGTTTGTCATACGTGAAGATATCTTCAAAGTCAAAGTCCTTGGAAGACAGGTCGAGAGCATCGAAGTTGGTCGAGGCCTTGTCTAACAATTCTCGCTCCGCATCGGACAGAGAAATGTCGAAGCTGGCGGTACGGGCATAGGGAACCAGCTGAACCTTGGGAGATAGGCGAGGGGAGACAGGAGTTGTGAGTTGCGTGGATGCAGAGGACGACGTCGACGTCTTTCTCTCCATTGACGATCGGCTGGTATCTGAATTGATCGAACTTGGACTAGGTAGTGGCGTCGTCCCGGAGGTGTACTTTGCAAAGCGTTCCATCCCCCAGCGACCAACTGGAATGTGTCGCAAGAATTGCTCTCGAGAGATATTCAGAAACACACTCGGGTGATTCTGTTATCAGGGGAGTCAGGTCAATGTGAGGTCGAAGGCAGGATTGAGGGATTTGGTTCGGCCCAGGTTGTATGCTGGCTCGAATCGTGGACAGCCGGGATCAGCTGTACACAAGACAATGGTCAGGGCCGAGCACGCGAAAAGACGTCGGCCTTTGATGTCACTGGTGTTTGAGTATTGCCTGACGCTTCTCCACAGGTACAGGGTGCTCCAAACAAAATGGCGGTGCGTTCGCAGGCGCGTCCACAGTCTTACGTGTGATGCCAGCAAAATGCTTTGCCGAAAGAAAGGAAGGATCCGGATACCCAAAACCACTTTTTTGGAGATGTCTCTGCAAAGGAACTGTAAAGGAAATGCCTCGTCCCCTTATATTGTCACACACAAGAGGGGAATATGCAGACAAGGCCAGAGAGTGAGGACAAAGGAAGCCTGCCTCATTAGACACATGCCATCTCGATTGGTGATGGCGACATCCAAAGGACGAATAGGACGAATTAGACTCCAGATACTCTCACCTTATTCTTTGATTGCGGGCTTTTTAAGGTGCTCAGATTTGTCCTCCATTTCGCCTTGATGGAGTCCACTCGAACAATTGCTCAAGAGTCATCGTCGATGGCGTCTTGTCCGCTCGTCTGTGTCTTTCCCACCGCCTTCTGCCCCTCAGCTCAAGACAGGATCATGCTGGACTCCTGTGCCAAGCGAGGCAACCCGGGAGCCAGAGGAGACGCAAGACTGGCGGCTTGTTGTGATATTTGTTAGTCATAATCCAAGGATCGCAACCTGATGTCCGGTCAATTGGTGTGGCATGATGGTAGCGGGCTTTGGTGGCCCTGTAGGTGGCCCTGTAGGTGGCCACCGGCATGAAAATTTCATCTGCACGTGGACGGGTTCGCCCATGATTCGCCCATGATTTGTCCCTTGCTATCATCCATTGGACCTGCACGTTGATTCTCCATCCAGGACACTTGTCATGGCTTGTTGCCAGTCGACCGCCTTTGCACGAGCGCAGACCAGTGGTGGAAAGAGACGACATCCAACAAAGGGCTTCTAGATATTCGTGCAAATCAACAATGCCACTGTACTTCTACAGCAGCCCAATTCTATTTTCATTCCAGACCTGCCAGAGAGCTCCCGCCTGCCTGGTGCTGGATCAATCGAGAAGGACGGCCTTCCCGGGATATCCATTGTACAAGGTATGATACAATTTGGGGTGATGATGAGACATAGTCATCAGGATTCAACACTCTGTCCGGAGCCCTGCCTTTCCAACGGTATGGTATTATCCAATTCTTGCCTCAATGGTGCAATATCCTTCGTTCCTCGTGCTTCTGTGGTTTCTCTCGTCGTTGCATTCCGCTCTGCTTTGGCGGCTCGGAGTCGACTACTCACACTGCTGATCCTACTCGTGAATCCGAGACTTCTTCGTGTTCCAGAAGGCCGAATGACTACCTGACTCTCTGGTGTGGCCTCTATTGGACTAGACGTAGCGGCTGGCACAATCGTTATTCGACCCCAAGGCTCTCTGGGTGTCACGGGAGTTTGCTCTTGAGCACCCACATTGCTTGCACTTGACGACGGGGCTGCATACTTGCGTCTCGGCACCAGATGCGTACTGATATGAGCCGGGAGCGGACTTCTGGTCACGTTGGTCGCTTCAAGCGCTGCAGGGACAGGGTGTTGAGGCATGGGGTGTTGGGCGGTGTATTCTCTCGAGTATGCTGCTCGATCTCTTGCCGCCTGGCGATACGTGCTCACCTCCGTCATAGCCCGGCTCACCGGTCTGACCGAAGGGCTACTTTCCTCGTCGTCTGTGGTGCCGTCCATATTGTACCCCGGAGTCCGCCTACTACGTACCAAAGTTGTAGAGGTCCGCGCTAGGCGCGACGATGAGGAGCTAGATATCTGAGGCAAGGCTGTAGGCGGTGTCTGATACGTGTTCTCAGGGGATGTTGTTTGTGCATTCAACGTGGCCCCAAGCGGTGCGCTGGTTCGTCGAGTCTCTAGGCGAGACTGGACACGAGAGACGACTGGAGGTCGATCATTAGGCTCGTTGCTGTGTCTCCGGCTCCGTAGACCTGCAGAGGCAGACGGAAATGCATCGCGACTACCAGGTCTTGTCGCAGGCTGAGGAAACTGTTTGTGGTCCGCAAGGATCGCGATGGCCAGTTCCGTCAAGCTCCTGCACATGCTTTCCGTTCGGCGACGAATCTGACGTTCCGAAACCGACGAGATCCCAAGGGTACTGGCCGCGCCGCTGTGCCCCTCTGGACTCATCATCATAGACAATTGCAAGGCATCCTGTGCCGTTGCTTGTAGCTTCTGATAAACGTCATTGCTGAGGACGGCTTTGGCATTACCGAGTGCTTCGTGGAGATTCGGGTGGATGTTAGACGGAATTCCTTCGATCGCGGACTGCAATTGCGTCACTGCTGGCTTGTGTTTTGGAGAGGAAGACATGGTGGTCGCGGCTGTAGTGGCCGTCTTTGGCCTCTCTGACGTTGTCATGGCTGCAGCCGAAGATGGTGGGAGCTTCCCAGTCAGCTCGAGCTTTCTGATCCTCGATTTCAGGTCATCCAGCTCGTCCCAAACCGTCGAAGGGGCGGTTGTGGAGATGGTCGACTCGGTGGCATTGTGATCGGGTACGCGGGGCCGATCAAGAAACGCAGACTCTGAGACCAAGCGGCTGTTTCGAGCTGTGCTTGGGCGTGAAAAAGTACGCACGGGTTCTGCAGTGTTGGTGTTTGAATTTGTCGTGGAATACCGTCTTGACATGGCTCTTCGGGGTAAATCCATGGGATGAGCACTCTGCGCGTCGAGGGTCCCGTCTCGGGTTGAGCCTTCCTGGGGATACGTCCGTGAAAGCGCTCCCGGGACATGTTGTCCCAGAGAAGATCGCTTGCTGTAGTAATGCAGTGCCTCTGATCGACCAGCAACACTAGAAGTATCAAATCGCTCCTGTATGGGAGAAGATTTGTAGCCGGTGGAAGGTCGCGTACTTGAAAAGAAAGGAAGTGAAACTCTCGACCGTCTCTTGTCAAGCTTGGATTGGACCTGACTGGCACGCGACGCGTCGGTCCTTGCAATGTTCAAAAATAAATCCTCGCTCTTCTTCTCATCGCTACTGGAAGCTTTGCTGTCCTCCTCCGAGGGGACCGGTTTCAGTAATTGCGGCTCTGAGTTCTCCTTTTCTTGCAGATCGGTCTGAAGCACAGCCGCGACTTGTTCTTTACTCATGGTCGAGTTGGGAGTAAGCACACTTTGTGTATCTGCGGTCTCCGGACTAGATACTTCGGGCGTGGTGGCCTCGTCCGACGAGGAGTCGGTCGTCGATGGGTTTGGATCTGGTTTCACGGGCGATAGTCGCGCTGGAGGAGGCTCGGTGACAGCTGTAGGTTCATTGGCCTTGGAAGGGGATGAATCACGCGTTGTGTCGTTTGTAGATCTCGTGGACGGATTTCGATCCAGTCGGATGCGGTCCTGCGACAGGGTTCGTTGGGTGCTGTAGGACGGAGGTGGCCCACAGATTGTCTCGACGCCGTAGCTGCTGTGAGAGGCGGGAGGTCTTTTTTGCGAAGGAGATCGCTGAAGCGTGTTGGAATTTGTCCGATGTAAGGGGGTTGAAGGCTGGCTGATCCCGGAAGACGAAGACGGACGATTATCGTTCGGGTCGTGGTCGAGGGAGATGTTGAACGAGGGAACACTCAAGGTCTTTGAGATTCCGACTGGCTTGCGCATTCCAGGGGATGGCTGTAGCACGGGTAATGAATCAAGATCTGGGGCATTGGAGGACAGTTTGGGTTTCTTGCGCAGCGGAGGCCGGAATAAGGTCAAGTCATGGTTGGCATCTGCAATGCGGGCCGGATAGAAATGGGGATAGGGAGGACGCGGTGGGAAATCGGCTGTCGTGCGAGTATCAAGGTCATGACGGGTGCCCCGGGCATCTAGTGTATAGTAGGGCACAGGATGATGATGACGATGGGAAGTGGTCAAGGTCGAAGTCGAGTGCTGGGTTGGGAGTGCAGGTGAAGTTGAAGGTGAAGGTCGTGTAGCACTAGTAGTGAGCGTGTCCAGCGTGTCGTCCATGTGCCCTCGCCGAAGCTCATTTGATCCATGGATCATCCAACCCTTGCTAGCCCCGTCTCGCTTGTGGATGGTGAAATCCCCTATACCGGCACTTTCAGCACTGGTTTCTCGTTGTCCATTTCTCTAGGTACCGGTAGAGACGAGAGAGGGCATGGTCCTGAAAAGAGAGAGAAGCTCTTAGTGTTTGTACGGGACAGCTACTTCTTAATCTATGGTGGAGGGAGGAGTCTGGGCCCGTGAGCCTCACCAGCCTGTGAGGTGCCTCATTCTTCCTAGGCTGGTCCCCCAGCAACTAGCAAGCCCCGGAAGATTTGTGATGGAAAGTGTGATATCTCAGAAGAGTTGCTGCGCTCAGTGCGGCATGCCCTGGTGCCCGTGTCGCGTCTTTGTTGTGTGGGAAAGGGGACACGACTTCGCCGCCCATGATTCGACCCGGTAAATCCTTGTCCAGGCCTGATCTCCCGGTCCAACGGGCACCAAAGCTCCAGGTACTGGCGCTATTTCCAGTTAAAGCAAAGCGCGAGAGACCGGCACTCCGGGCTGGAATGTTCGGGGTGCACTAGGCCAGTAGTGGGCTTCAAAACCCCCTCCCAACTTCCAAGTACCCCCCAGGAGCCCCTATTGATTGTACCGAGTACCTCGTAGTCTCGCTCTTCCCTGCAAGATCACCATCATCACATCACCATATCTCTGGGGTCGCAGGCAACCTTCAGGATTCCTCACTGACTCCCAAATCGTCACAGGGCCGTCGATCCCTTCTCAAGAGTTTCATACTTGTCTAACGCTGGTTCTGTTCTCTGTCCGCGCACTGTGACAAGTACTGAGTCAAAATTTCAATCGCTGCAGCAACAAGCACTCTTTTCTTCTTCCTGCAACGTGTTCTTACTCGGTTGGGCTTCGGATATGCAAGCTGTGCAGCGAGGAAACTAATGCAAGGAACAAAAGTCACTCGAAGCGGTCGCCCTTGCTTATCGCCACTCGGCTGATCCTTCAGTTTCGTCGTGAAGTGTCTGAAAAGAGAGTTGTCTGAGAGAGAGATACTCCAAAGATGGTGGAAAGCTGCGCCTTCACCGAAGAGAGCACCGGGAGCTACTGTCATATTGTGAAATGAGTCACTTGCGACTGCTCGTCGTGGAGCGCCTGATTCGGGGATAGAAATAGGGAAAACCCCTTCCTGCTTGACCTGCTCTCCCCTTCCATCAAGCATGTCATTATCATCAAGCATGGCTACCCGAAGGACGCGTATCGTTTGTATATCTGATACCCACAATCAAACCCCCCAGCTGCCAGCTGGGCACATTCTTGTTCACGCAGGCGATCTCACTAACCAAGGCACGTATTCAGAGCTTCAGAAGACTGTTGACTGGATTAGGCGGTCACCTTTTCAGGTCAAAATCGTCGTCTGCGGGAACCACGATGTCACTTGCGATGTTCCATTCTATCAGATGTACGGAGGCTACTTCCACAATAAGAGACCGGAAGATTCTCAGCGCTGCCTCGACTTGCTGCGCGCGGACCCTTCGGTCGTTTTCCTCAATCATGAGGCCAAGCAGGTTCGCATCAACCACGGGGCTGGTCTTGTGTCCATACTCAAGGTCTTTGGTTCCCCATACTCGCCAGCACATGGTTTTTGGGCCTTCGGCTACTCGCCAGAAACTGCTCCTCAATTATGGGATCAGATCCCTCTAGATTCAGATATCGTGGTGACGCATACGCCGGCCAAGTTTCACTGTGACGAATCTGGAAAACGTGGCACAGCAGGATGCGAAATCCTCCGTCAGGCTTTATGGAGGGTTCGCCCCAAGCTATTCGTGTGTGGGCATATCCATGAGGCCTATGGTGTTGAGGCCGTCACGTGGGATCTATCCTCTCCCCACCTCAGATACAAAGAACAGAACGTCCGAAGATGGGTGGACCCAGAGCCCGGTTCTAAGAAGCAATTCACTGTCGATCTGTCCTCGAGAGCCAAGGCCCTAGCTTTGCGCAATGATGGAAGCATTGGCAGCCTGATACCACAAAAACCACAGTCAAGAATTCGGGGTGTTGAAGTTGATGGCACTGTTGATGATGCGAGCACAGATCAGCAAGACAGAAGCAACCCCTTCCCAGGTGCCCCGGGTCCCCCAACCCCTCCTTTCCCTGACTTTGAAAAGGCCGAGAGACCAATCCCTTCTACGATCGATTCTCCAAGCATCAGGCATCTCAGGACTGGTAGTCAGGGTGGTCCAGCATCAAGCTCTAGGTCTGACCAGGAAGCAATTTCGGGTCGAGAGGGAAGAGCGGAGACTTGTGTGGTCAATGCAGCTTTCATGGGTTCAAATTGGCCTCACAAGGGCGGCAAAAAGTTTCATAAGCCTGTTGTGATCGACCTGGATTTGCCGGTTGTGGATGAGAAAGAGATCGACCAAGGCGTGCGACATGAAGAGGGGTAGCTTGAGACTGTGGTTCTGCTGCAGCTCTAGCCGTGACTCAATCATTTGCGATGAGGTGGTTCCTGGGGGTTTTGACCTTGTCCGTGGCATCATTGGCGATGCACTTCAGCTTCAGATAGTCAAGGCATTTGTATCATTCCAAAAAGAATCAGATTGACAATACTCGGGACAGGTGAGACCTTTAGTTGGAAATCTTTCATCGTTGCGACCAGAGCAGGATTCAGTGGAACAGGAGTCGGGAGTTCCTTCCTGGCAGTTGGTGGCAGCGCCCTCGACGAACAACATGGAGAATGGCCCGCATACCCTGCCTCAGGCACTGTCTTACTATCAGCAAAAGTCCTCTCCAGTCAGGCCAGCAAGGGTGCACCACACCTGTTCTTTGTGGATGGATTGCTGTACGAGGTAGCATTTTAGAGGATGCCAGGAAGCCCAAGGCAGTTTTGGCCCCAACAACACATGAACCCCTTGATACGAGTATGGAAGTGGTGAGGCCCTAATACCTTCGGGCATCCTTACAAAAAGGGGCTTTAGAGCTTGGCAGTCACATAGAGTTATATCTACCATCAGAGATAAAGAAGAGGGTTTTGGAATGATTCGGGTCTGCCATCATGGTGGTGGTGGTTATTCATGATAGTGGGAGTTGTGAGGAGCGGCTTTTGGTTCACCCCGACGGTTGGGAAAGTGAAATACATGACTTAGATACCTAGGTACCTAGGTAGGTACCTATGTACCTATGTACCTAGGAAGCCGACGTCAGAATTAAAAGGCACAGTCTGACACAGTAGTCGACGAGGAGGCCGCCATCCATATTAGAGACAGCTGATGTTTCGCGATGAGCTTATCTCTAGCCAAAGCGCAAGGAGAACAGGCACTGAGGACGGCACCGAAGGAAACAGAAAACCGATGTATTTGAGAACTTGAATAGAGGTTTTTTGAGATCAAAATACATTGTTGATTTTATCGTCGATGGACAAAAGAGGAATGATTATAAAGGACTACAACGCCTGGGGCCCATCATCTATCAAAACCCGCGATCCATCGCGCGAGGGCAGGCAAATCCCTATCGTGTATCCCCAACCCTAGACCGACCGGACGTCTGTTCGCCAGTGTCAAGCGACAATCAGCCAAAGAACTCGGGTACAATGGCTAAACCCCAAGTAAGGTTCCTTGAAGAGTATCAGAATATAATCCACGCGCCATAAGTTTGATACTCCCAGTCCCTGTCTCGATAGACAGGTTCTCTCGGCCTCCGTCGCCCTTGCCTCTGTGCTGGCGACGATGCACTGGATCCCGTTGTGCTGGTCGTGGCATGATGACCACCTGCTGCAGCAGCGGCGTTGTTTCCGCGTCTGCTGCGGCCGCTTCGCGACGACGTGGGTGGCAGGAGTGCCGGCGACGGCGGGGGAGGATACCACGGCATGGAGGAAAGCGGGATCTCTCTTGCATCCTCCATGCTGAGCCCCGGGGGAGTGTTCATGTTGAGGTCGGTTTCCATCCCGAGGGTCGAGGTGCTCCAGTTGATGTTGTCCTTGGGGTCCTGGAGCTGTAATTGGGAGAGGGGATGATTCTGTTGTTGTTGACTTGTCTTCCTGGTGCTCTTCTTTCTGCTTCCCGAGCAAGGGGACAACATCACGTCGACCACTTTGTTCCAGAGGTTCTTCCCGGCCCGGGATCGCTCTGGCGACGCTCCCGTTTCCACCACCGTGGTCACCATGCTGAATCCCCTCTTTCGAGACTCTTGTTGCTGGGCTCTGTTTTTTTGGGGATAGACAAAAAGTTCCCGAGGGTGTCCTTAGAAGCCGGTATACCACACAATCCCGACGGATCTTCCCTGGGGATATGCGCTGAACGCTCTTCCGAGGCCGTTGATCGCCTTGCGGCCCCAGCGACGCACGCGTGTCTCCTCTCTGTTGTCTCTGATCGAATCACTCTCGCTCGATGTCGACGCCGAGGAATCAACCGAGGACAATCTCGTTGTCGTTCTCGAGGAACGGTGGAAGAACCTGACGGACTTTGTCGAGGTGGATGATTGAGTGGCTGTCGACGCTTGGGTTGTCCTGCGTCGTGGTTTCGGCTGTTGTTGGGCTTGGATCTCTGGGAAAGTCTGTGCTTGGTGCTGCGATGGGAGATGGGATGGGAACGTGGACATGAATGTCATTCTGTTTGTGCTCTCGTGACCCGTCAGTGCAGGGCTCGGATGTTGATGCTTGGGAGAAGTCCTCGGAGACAGCCTTGCAGGGTTAGGGGAGTTCCGGAAGACCGATTCTGCGACGAAGGGTGCTTGCATATAGAAGAGGCTCTTCTTCAGATGGCAATATACATTTGATGTTTCATCGAGTATTGATCGTCAACTTTGTTGGGGCCGACCACATTCCCTTTTTTAATTTGTGTCCCGTCTCATTCGGGGGGAGAGGAGACAACAAAAGGATTGAGAATTTCAAAAAGATAAAGAAATATCGAGTCTGAGCGACAGGTCTCGCATTATTATATCCTTGGAATCAAGAGGGTGAGCGAGTGCAAGTTGGCATGGTATCAGAACTAACAGGGTGACATACATGTCAGGCCTGACGCTCTCGACCACCACAAACACCACATACGCAACTCACATCCGCGAGAGGAAAGAGACGAGGATGACAAGGGGGCCGATCAAGAGCACCTATACAGCAAGGGAAATTGCAGATCGCCACGTAGAGCAGCATCCGCTGAACCAGGACGAAACCTGGAAGAATACGCACGCCCATTCGATGGATGGGAATGTCGTCCCATGGGTGGTGTTGGTGGCCGTGGTGGTGGTTGGGTTTTAGCCGCTCGATTGGGAAAGGGAGAGTAAAGCCTGGCCTGGCTTGGGCTGATTCGGGAAGATGACAAAATGGCGAGAATGAAGTCAGCAAGCAGCCTGACGTGAGACCCTAGGTCCAGTGTCGTTGAAAGATTGCCCCCCGAATTATTGTGATAGGTGGGACGGAGAAATCCTTTTCGGATCAGAGTTCTCAGTGGTGTCCCCAAGAGCGAGTTCACTCAGGGCCCGGGGGCCGAAAAGCGCCCTGAAGGATGGTTTGGAGACGTAGCTACAGTGGAACAAGATAAGCCCAGAGTGTAACACGAATGTGCTGGTCGTAATCCATCAAGTTTGCCATCAGTCCATACTTGTGGACGAGAGATGGTATCTTCCACTCAGAAACAGAAAAACATACGCTCGGATGGAACTCCAGAAGTACTGAACAGGGTCTTCTGGCCCTGACTAAACATTAGGCCCCAACACCGATCGCCCTCCTTGTCCTGTCCCTGTTAAGGGAATCAATGTGGTAGCGGCGTATATATCTCCCACACCTAATGGGTTGAAACATATATCATGGATGCCTGATCGACCCCAAGTGAGAACCATGTTGAAGTATCTGCACACACTTTCGTAGATGGTCAGGCCTCTTCCAGAGACCATTCAAATCAAGGAGACGTCACACACGGCTGTCACACCATTGCGAATGTCGTTGGGACACCTGGCACACCTGGGACCCTAGAGGGCGTGCTGGACTGTGGTAAGCTGTTAGGACGGTGGCGTTGATCAAAAAAAAGGTTCAAAACGACCCGAACTTACATTTTTCAATGGGCTTGCCCCGGTCCGAGAAGAAGCCCGCTTGCTTCATGTGCGTTGGCTTCCCCGTCTTCTCGTCAAATAGGTTGAAACCAAAATTGGCCGCATGGGGCGGAGTGTAGAGGTGGAGGGATACGGCCACCTCATCGTTGGAAGGGTTGGATATCTTGTGCAAACCAATCTTGTCTGAGATGTAGGTAACTTCGTTTTCGTGGTACGTGGATTCCTTGACAATTTGCGGAGGGGTCAAGGCGCCATTCGAGGCCGTCTTCTCAGTCAAGCAAGGTGGAAGGGCGTACAGTGTTTCCTTGAGACTGCCTTTGAGGATCTTCATCACACAATGGGCGTCTGCATGATCGTGTATCGGACTAGACCTTCCTGGGTTCCAGACTATCACCAATAAGTTGGATTTGCCGTTTCCTTCGTCCACGAGGTTGCGAGTATAGTTTCTGCTAGGATCGGCAAAGGAGTAATGGCGCCAATGCTTTTCCTGGGAAGTGTATTGTTCCATAAGGCGTATCAAGTCATTTTCGTCCACATCGTCAGAGTTGATACCTGAAGAAGGGCCAAGGACATCAGACAGAGCTCGAACGAGACGGTGGAACTCGTCGCAGGGATCGATCAGACTGAGTTGGCCATGGTGGTGAGACGTATACGCCGGTTCAGAATCGAGCATATAGGAACCAGCAGCGCCGAGCGGCTGTTGGTATGAAAGCATTGTAGGAAAATTGTGGTTCTCTGAACGACTATTCTGACAGACAAAGCAGACTTTCGAGAGGGTGGCGAGGAAGAAAACTATCGAAAATGAGAAGGGAAGGAAGATGGACGAGGATAAATGCAAGGTGGGAGGTATGATCGAGGCGGTGTACGAGTGAAGCTGGCCCTTTAGATAAGAATGCAGCGCCGCATGTAGAGGACTTGATAGCGTGCAAAACTGCAGCCAATTCAGGTTTTTATCCTTCAAGGTACTCGGACCCAGCTGTCCTGTCTCATGACTGAGGGATGGAGGAACCACGGCGACCAAAAGGTGAAGGTAAGCATCGGAGGGGATTGACTCAGGGCAATTGGCCAAGTGGCTTGAAGACCCCTCCGGAGAGCTGGTCGTTGCCCGTTGAAAGGCGAACCTGTGACCTCGTGTCCATCTTTTCCTTACCAGTTGAACGCCGTGAAGGGCAAGAGTGGGTGGTTCGGGCTCGTCGGGGAGCCAAAGATTGGTCGTGCAGGAGGATCGAGATTGGTGGGAGGCCCGCTGAGCATGTTTAGAGGGGCGAATCAAAGCTTAAACGGGAATGAGCGGTAGAGAGTGCAAAAACTGCACAATGAATTTATTGTAGAGACAGCGACGACGAGGACGAGGACGAGGACGGTGAGGATGACAAGGCTGGCAGGCAAGGCTCTGATATATCCACTCTGTTCAGGAGAAGAGCTAACAACCTCTAGAGAGCCAGATATTTAAATGACTTGAAGCCTGGTGAAAGGAAATTGTCCAGTCTCGAGGATGAGCGATTGCGTGATCGAGCCAGGTGCTCTCTGAGTGGCTGTGTGAAGATGAGTGGCAAAGGGACGGGAAGAATGACCTGCCCAGTCTGCCACTTTGGGGACTGCAAATGAAGGACATACATAATACGAAGTACGGGAGGGGAGACAAGGTACTCGGAGTCACGGGGTTTGGGTACCTGGGTAGGTGACTCGGTGATCACGATTCCCACCAAGTAGGCGGACAAGCACCTAGCGAGCTAGGCATGCAGGTACTCCGTATTAGAGCCCACCAGCCCTAACGGCCGAGCATAGGAAGGGGTGGTCTAGGGACACTCGCAAAGCACAGGGGGGCGCCACGGCACCTGGGTGGCACCAAACCGCCAGATTCCGTTACCTCATCGGCGCCCCCTCGTCGGCTACCCAACTGTTGCCCACACCCTTCATCTGCGGGGCACCATCCACACAATTTTTGTCTCGAACCGCCATGTGGTGGCGGCTGTACAAAGCCATTTCAACACCCGTCCTTCTGATCATTTCACGTTGCACAAAAGTCGCAAAGGATTGTTACACCGCGTCCTCCTATTGTCCCGTTCCTACCCTCCTGCGATAGCTGTCGTCCCGTCCCCCACCAGCACCAACTGCGGAAATTCGTTCCCAAATATCACTGCCCAGCGGTCCTTCGACGCACCCGATCCTGTCTCAGCGGTTCGGCGATCACCTGCCTCATTCTCGTCCTGATCCCGGATCGGTAACTACCCCCTTCGGACATCACCTTTGGATAGCCCAAGATGGCTACAACTGTGGACAAAATCAAGGAGATCGAGGCCGAGATGGCCCGGACCCAGAAGAACAAAGCCACGTCTTTTCATCTGGGCCAGCTCAAGGCCAAGTTGGCAAAATTGAAGAGGGAGCTCTTGACACCTTCATCATCGGGTGGTGGCGGTGGCAGTGGATTCGATGTCGCCAGAACTGGTGTCGCATCCGTCGGCTTTATTGGGTTTCCTTCGGTGGGAAAGTCCACCTTGATGAGTCGATTGACGGGCCAACATTCCGAAGCTGCTGCCTACGAATTCACCACTCTCACTACCGTCCCCGGTCAAGTCTTGTATAATGGTGCCGCCATTCAAATGCTCGACCTACCGGGGATCATCCAGGGTGCAAAAGACGGCAAGGGTCGTGGCCGTCAAGTCATTGCCGTCGCCAAAACCTGCCACCTCATCTTCATTGTTCTCGACGTCAACAAGCCGCTCACTGATAAGCGGGTCATTGAATCGGAGCTCGAGGGTTTCGGCATCCGCATCAACAAGGAGCCGCCCAACATCGTCTTCAAGAAGAAGGACAAAGGGGGCTTGAACATCACGAGCACGGTTCCGCTGACCCATATTGACCATGACGAAATCAAAGCTGTCATGAATGAATATCGTATCTCATCGGCTGATATTGCGATCCGCTGCGACGCCACGATTGACGATTTGATCGACGTCCTGGAAGCCAAGAGCAGGAGCTACATCCCCGTCATCTACGCGCTCAACAAGATTGATTCGATCACCATCGAGGAACTGGACTTACTCTACCGCATCCCGAATGCCGTCCCTATCAGCTCCGAACACGGGTGGAACATCGACGAGCTTTTGGAACAGATGTGGGAAAAGCTGCAACTGAAACGTATTTACACCAAACCAAAAGGAAAGCAGCCAGACTACAGTGCTCCTGTCGTATTGAGGAAAAACGCGTCCACTGTCGAAGACTTTGTAAGCTGAGACAATCATCCTGGGGAATTTCGGCTGCTAATCCTTTCCTTAGTGCAATGCCATCCATAAGACGATTGTTGAGCAGTTCAAGCATGCGATTGTCTACGGTAGATCAGTCAAGCATCAGCCCCAACGGGTAGGCCTTTCGCATGAATTGGCCGACGAAGATATCAGTGAGTTCAACAATGCCCCCTGTCACAAAGCTTACTGCGCATCGTGCTGACCTTGTTTATCCAGTCACTATCATCAAGAAGTGAAGCAAGTCGCACCCTCCATTTGTTTCAGCTCGACAGCCCTGTCTGCCTATCAATCCTACATGAACATGCATGGGACGATTGATGCCGCCTCAAGGTTTGGGACCGTCGACCACGGACCCTTTTTCCGCTAAATGAGGCTAGATACCTCACTCTTCCGCCATCCCCGCGTCTTCGGATCGAGAACATCCTATCCCTTAGCCTTCGGTCATTAAATCAGCATCAGGGGCTAGGACTCTATTGCCCAAACGGGCGGAAGAAAGCCCCATGCAGCCGCGATGCTGGTGGCCACTCGCCCAAGCCCTGCCTCAAGCGGCGCAGCGGGCGAGAAGGGTCGAAAGGGTTCGGTGCTCAACGTTCTTGCCATGAACAAGGACTCGGTCCACAGAGCTCCCACCTGACGTGGGAAAACGTCTCAAATGTAGTCAGTGAGGCACATTGATATACCTGGTTTAAACATGTGCCATTATCTGCTCGAACGTCGAGTCTATTGGCAGCGGAAGGGGACGCAGAACTCCGTATATAAACTCTCCCACGAGGTTGACATCAGGGGCTGAAAACAGTGCAGCACGTAAAAGCGGCAGGGTGGAAAACCAGTCCGCCTCGTCGTCAGCCAATGACGACAACGAAGAGAGAAGGACATGTCGAAAGGACGTCTGCAATTGTCCTGTTGAAACAAACTAATACTGATAAATGGCGGCTTGGATGTCCCGATTGAGGATGCTGGCGCTTCAAGTGCGGAGAAGTTGGTCGCGGTGAAGGGAGGATCCACGCTAGAGGCTTGCAAGCTGGGATTGCTTCCCTGCCCTGGCATGAGCTCAACGGCCAATTCTCCGCTCTTACGCAGACATTTCTGAGCACGAGCTGCAAGGTCAGGCTGCAAATACGATCGCTCAATGGGGTTATTTGAAGAGGCGGCCGAGGCGGGAAAGGTGCATGAAAAGACGTTGCTCATGGAGGGTCAGCTCTGCTGCTGATATGTAGACCCAAGTTTATCGGTGACCCGGCACCATGTTCCCGCGACCATTGACATGGGCAGTCGAAGACTCGGCTGCAGGAGAGAGGAGCTTCCACAAGATGCATCGACGGGTTCCAACGTTGCTTTGATTGTCCTGGAAGTATGCCACGTCCATGCAACAGTCGTTGGACTCGCTCTTGCGCAAGCGCATTCAGCTCGGTCTGCTGCCCGCAGAGGACACCTTTTGGGTGAGTCGACAAAGGGCTTCGATGGCCAACGATGGCCAATTTGCACCCACCTCTTCCTTACCCCTCCGAGGCAGAGCTCGATTCGACTGCCCTGATCTCCCTTGTCTAGTCCAACGTCCGTATTCCTCTGCGGGGCTTGGGTCCCAATGAGTATCTCGTATGATGGTAGTGTCTGCTTCACTCATGGGCTTTGGGAATTTGGGCCTCCACCTAAAAGCGCCACGAACACGCTCGGAGGCTTCCCGAGTCTGCCGCGTCTCAGGGTTTCAACAAGGACACGAACACTGCAGGTTTCCGCGTACCGACCTGCTGCTTGAGGCCTCGAGAGGTTGAAGGGATCCCTTGCAGGGTCAATTTTCCCATCCAACCTTGTTCCCATGCTACGAGCAGGCGTGGAACCCTCTTGAAATTGTGGATCTAGGTACCTATACGGTCTGCTTCGTTTGTGGTGAAGGATCAGGGAGCCCCTGGCGATGCATGCGCCTATGACGATAGAGGTGCAGGGAGGAGAGGCCTCGGAAGGGTTGGGAGGGTTAGGAGGGATAAGAGTATCATTTCTCGTAGATAATCGAGAGTCCAGGATAGAGACAGACAAAAGGAAGTGTTGTCAGTCTGAGAAGACACTGGGAAGGATCGTCACTGTCCTGTACAAGAAAGGATGCGAATGTATACCAAGTAAAGGGCAGCAAATGAGTGTACCAAGTAGTCCTCGTTACACAGCGATATTATCTGGGCAGTTGAGTTCCTGGGAGTGCTCCCGGAAAACGTCATTTTTCCTTTATTCAGCTTTGACGGCTTTGCCTTTGACCACAGAGATTGAACAGGAGCATACAATGTCTACCACATGATCTTCCTCCTTCCAATGGGGCTTGAAACATGTACTCACCCGCTACTCGCCTGCCGGATTGGGCTTCACGATCAGGGCCGGGAGTCTCAGAAAAATCTTCCCCATACCCACCAAGTACTCCGTGCTGTGGGCGCCTTCGTCCTATTTGTCCTTCGTCCTTTATCTTGCCGCCGAGTCCTTCCCTCCCGCCAACCATGGCGCCCAATGCTCGTTTCCTGTGCCAGTTGGCTCCTCGTCATCTCTCCTCAGTCGTCTGGCGCCGCCCATATTCGGCCAGGGAGGCTGCCCTTGGTCGCCCAAATGAGCGCTGGCTCAGTTGCTGTCGGGGAGTCAAGGGGCGAGTCAAGGTGAGGGAACCACCGCGGGTGGCTATGACCTCCACTCGGTACAGTCCAATGTGAGCAATTGTGAATTCCTCACGGGCTTCTTGTCCCCTCTCACTCGCCAAATTCACCCAGCCGGTTCAGACATGCTTCTCTCCACGGACCCACGCTTTGTCGCACAGGTGACATTTGGATTCGCCTATGTTCTCACTGCCCCCACGGGTGCGGGTTGACCAGATGATGCAGAAATACCCTCACTCCCTCGAACCCCGTACTGGTATCGTCACGCCTTTACTGTACAGTACCAAAACGACAGGGGTTGCCCAGGGAGAGGGTTCTGGGGCCACCAGCAATACTGCCATCTTTTACGCCACGACAATAGTGAGGCCCAGTCTCCTAACGACTCGCCCTTAACCAGAGGGACGAGCCATGCGATTGTGCCGATGGAAGATCCTATGGGCCGCAGGGAATCACTTGCGGCCTGAGATCACCCGCATCATGCTCGGTAGCTAGCGGACCGTCCAGGAAGGGACGAGGCTAGCCGGAGCGCTGTACGAATAGCCTCCATTGCAACTTTTCTGCATCGACTCATTCGAGCAGTTATCCTCGACTCGCTCATTTGGCTCCGCTATAATTCGACGCCGCTCGGTTTCTTTGCGAGCAGCGTGGGGCTTATGAATCTCGACTCGTCCTTGTAGGTAAGGAGAGATGCACCAGAGGGACACAAAAGCACAACACGCCTACCAGGATTGGCTTCACTTTTGTGGCCAGAGGGCGAGTCTGCATTTGTACAAATGGCTGCCCGCGGTATGTTCTAGTCCGTCTTCCTTCCCTTCTCCGTCTCTCGAAACATCCAGAGAAGCACAACCGATTCCTGCAAGCGACCGATATCTCAACCTGCTCCTCAGCCCCTTGTCGCGAATCTTTAGTGAAGCTGCGACGCATAAGCGTCCTGTCCTTCATCGGCTGAACATCTCGACTCACCAAACTACCAATTTATGTCGGCGGCGTTGACGCTACGGGGCAGCTCACAGTGGCGTGTCAAGGATTGAGAGAACAACTAGGCGGGTCCGGGCGACAAGAAGGATTGGCAAGACCGTGCGTTATACCCTAGGCAAGCCCCAACGCATGCCCTGTTCATCCCTAAGTTTCCTAAGTCTGCCTGCAAGGGTTCCCCCCTCCTCAGTGCTAATCCCAGTGCTAGTCGGCAGAGTTTGTGAGGGCCGTTCCTTTACCGGGCTGCCGCTAACCTTCCTTAAGCCTCTGCATAATAGGCTCGTCTGCCGCCCTGAAGTTTTTAGTCTGCCACCTGCAGGCGTGCGGATTGCAGTCGGAAACCCTCCCTCCGGAACGACCCCTTCCAAAGCATATCGAGACTTTTCCTCTCAGTGGCCCTCCAAAGCAGAGACGTTTCGAGTTGAGGGTGAAGGTACAGGAGGACCACCACGCCCTGTCCAGCGTCACAAGCCCTAACAAGGACAAAGCAATATCGGAAAACAGCCCATACAACAACCCTGCTTTAAGCACCTGCGGCCCAAGCTTCACCAAATAACGCCCCCTCGCGCCTTCGAAGCAAGCCCTGGTCGACTCTCTCCTCGAGGCCTGTCCGGGCCCCGGTCGAAATTCCACCCCAGTTCGATATTAACTCCTCAATTCGTCCAGCTCGACCTCGCCTGCACCGTGCAGACTGTCTGGGCTTCACTACTATCAGCTGTGCTCCCCACACACACCCGCTTTCAGACGTTCCCTCTTTTATCATATGCTCGTTCCTCCCCCTCAAGCTTGACCTCAGGTCCGCACACCTCACGCCCGTCGGTCTCTGAGCACCCTCTGTACCTTGGTCCTCTCTGAAGGTCTCAAGGCTCTGGGGTTGTGCAAGCCAGCCTTCTGGGACCGCTGGCTACGTGCAGCGTGTGACAGCTTCACCCAGGATCAGTGGCATGCGTCGCCAAAGCATATTGGCGCCCAAGTCAACATAGTATCACACAGAGATTCAGATCTCGATGTTGGTTCTGTTGAACATGCCGCCAGATAATCAAGATTCGCAACCTACTGGCTATAGCCAGAACGGCTGGATAGGCGTTCCCAACGGTGTCCCTAACGGTTACTCCTCCAGCCCGCAAACGGCGATCTCCCCAATGCAGGAATTTCCGCAATTCGAGTACCATCACCACCACCACCACCAGACCACGCCGATGCCAATGGAACCAGCTTATCCCTTACAACGACCTCCGCCATTTGCATCCTCGCATGCACCGATGCCACCACCCTTGGTCGTGCCTAACAACATTTTGTGGCCAAGTATGCTTGCTAGCCAACCCCAGGGGTCCTACCAGCCGCCCATTTTACCTGCTGTACCAATGCAGACCCCACTGTCTGCAGGGTCAGCTTCTGATATAACACCAACCAGCGCCAAAGCGAGCACGGCTCGCCGCAAGTTGACCGACGAGGAGCGTCGTCAGATGTGCATCGAGGCTGAGCAGAATCCGACCATGAAGCAGACCCAGATAGGAGGTATGTGATCGTACTCGGCTTTTTCGTTCGTTCTGACCCTGTCCAGCGAAGTTCAACGTGGAGAGGAGGTATGCTCGACGCACTGTGCTGGTGGATTGTAGCCTGCGGACTAACAGCGTGTAGCACGGTATCCAAGATCCTGAGGCAGCGGGACAAGTACATGAATCCCCAGCCGAAAGAGGAGAGTGTCAGCCCGATCAAGAAGTCCAAGGCCAAATTACCGGACTTCGAGAAGACCCTCACCAACTGGGTCAAGAATCAACAAAAGAAAGGGCACTCAATCACGGATGAAGATCTTCGGAAGCAAGCTCAGGTATTCTCCTTCAGTAGAAGTGACCAAGCGGTAGTTTCCAGCTCCGACTGGCTGGAGAAATTCAAACGCAAGGTTCGTCTCGTTGCGCCCAGGACCGATGCAGATTCGACGGTGCTGGATTCCAGCTCGACTTCCCTCTCACAAACCCCTCTTGACGGCTCCCCCACGTCGTCCAATGGTCTCGTATCTCCTCCAATGTCAGCCATTGAGGAGCACAGCGAAGAGCCTCCGATCAAGATCGAGACCAATGCGGAGTTTTTTGACTTTGGAGATGGGAAATCAACGTTCGAAACTCAACCGGAGCTTGATCGTGAACTCACATCGGAGTCCATTATGTCACCCATGTCGGTGGAAATGGCGCGCGGTGACCAAGATGGCACAGTCATGCTCGAGTGTGCGGACGATACCTTGGGCACTTCTAGTCGTCAAAGAAGCCAGACCTACCCTCATAATTTGGGCACGGCTTCACGTCCTTCCTCCTCTAGTCAGAACCGACCCGCACTACCTGTGCGCTCACTGACAGCGACAACAGTAGGAGCGGCGATAGGAGAGCCTCGACCTACCGCCATCGATCCTCGGCAGATGATGAAACGACACAAGAGCGTTCCTGACATCCATTACCCTGAACAGCCGCGGTTCTCATCCATGCAGCCTCCACCGTTGCCGCGGTCCGCAGATGCGTCGCCTATTAGCAATCCGACCTCGCCGGCTGAAGAAGATATCATTCGAGCCTTGCATGCCACCAAAGCATTGCTGGAACAGAACCCGGCTGTGGCGGAACCCGACGATTACTTGGCGATTGGTAAACTGATAACGAAAATCAAAGCCCTTCGGCCGACAGCTCCAGTTCTACCAGGGGGGATGCACCCAGTCGATATCATGGACAGCCCTCGCATCTCCAAAAAGAGAACCATTCTCGGCATCTCGACCTGAGTGCAGCGTGGCTCACAGGGGTCAAAGTTGGTCAGCGAGCTTTTTCTTTTTCATTGATACAATCCTTTTTGAAGTATCTGGCGCAGCTGCTTTTGCATTTAGCGTGCAAGAGAACACAATCATTTGTTTACGAACAGTGTCCAGCATTGAAGAACGGGAAAATACAGACATGCAAGAGAATGACGAACATCTACCATCAGCGGACACGCAGGGACAGAGCATCGATCCAGGACATATCTTTTCAACATTCTTGGTCACGAGAAACAGCTTCGGACTTTCAGAGAGCAAGATGCCTCTACGAATTTCTCTCTTCGGGACGCGGCACCCCGGTACGATCGCTGACGACCACACACATAGACACTACCCAGCCCCGAGGCGAAATCTCCTTATTCATTGTATGAAGGCATGTATGTGTGGGAAGAAAGGGGAGCGTGCAAGCGAGCGATCGAGCGACTGGATCACATTGTTTGAAGAGATTGGGTTTATTTTCTTTTCACGTTCTGTTCTGTTTCTCTCTCTCTCGGCCACATCGATGGCTTTATCCAGTCATGGATCGTGTACCACAGTACATGTCAAAGTTGTATGATTTCCTTTTTCTCTTTTCGCTTGTATTGACATTGGAAACTAGGCCATGGAAGCACAATGGGGATGGCTTGTGAGGACGTGAGGGAGGGTCGATGCCGGGGAATGGGACCACGAGTGTATAACTTTCTCTTCTTTCTCCCCGTTCTAGGGGAACTTTTGAACCAGTAACTAGGTTTTCTTGTCAACGCAGCAACGTGTAAACAGCAGACATGACAGATGTGCACATGAAGGGTTCTGTGGTGTATGGTATACGGCTGTATGCTGCAGCATTTTGAACCAATGCTATGTCTCAAAGAAGGCAGCGTCAGCGACAGCACAGCGAATATGTCGGGCTAGGATCATATACAGCGGCAGCGCAAGCTTCGGGAGGCTTTTTCTGAGATAGCAATGACAACCCACGCAACGTCCAAAAGAACAATGCAGAACCAAGAATCCCATTATTGCCCCCTGCGATATGTCAAGGCGAGACATGCGCAGATCCTGCTGATCGATCACAAGAGATGCTCTGAATTAAACTGCATGCGAGATGGTCGGGATAAAAGTGAGGCTAGCAAGGCTATCGGAGGAAAATCCATTGCAGGGAGCAGTTGCTACTCTCGACCCTTGGGGACAAGTGCCTTGCCGATCGCAGTTGCATCTCGACCTCGGACTAAGACGGTCGACGATGCTTCAGCTCATCAGTTCCTTTCTCCTCTCGACTCCTGTTCCAGTCACTGACATCGGCTTCGCCAGCCGGTTTCAAGGCCCAACGAAGCCATCTCGGTTGCTCCTCCGTGCCGGTCTGCTCCATGGCCAATCCAACGACGACGACTCAAATGCTTCTGACATGAGATGGACCAGGACAGATCTGAGATTTGGGGGTGCCGACTAAAGTAATGAGTACCATCCAAGATACGCAACTCTGTGTTGAGTGAGGACAAGTTTCTATTACAGGACAGAATTGCGGCATTCGGTCGTGGGACTATCAACGCCAATGGCGTTGGCTGACTATGGTCGAATCCTGCGGCTGGACCGAGTACCTCTCTGCCGCCGTCTCCTTTCTTCTGTCCCAGGAGACAACATCTCTGCTTCCGGCCTCTAGAGATTCTCGTTTGGCAATCCTTACTCCTCAGGACCAGGTTGTGTCTTCCCCACGCTTCGGCTCTTGCCCTGCCGTCTTCATCTCTCATCTCGCCACAACGTTTCAGAGACAACCGCAGGCGAGAACGTTCGACTGAGACCACAGGCTTCGATTTCGCGCCGCAGAACCCTGTCTAGTCTGGGACAGTCTGGAAGAGAGTGTCGCATCGAGGCACGCCATGGGTCTCGGGTAAAGGAGAAGTCCGTTTGTAACAACGATGTCAACAAGAGGCCACAATTTTTGTACCAATATCACGGCATATCACTGCATCTGCTCGGTGAATGGACCATCCCTGGCCACTCATGAGGCTCAAAAAGACGGTGAGCTCAGATTATCTCCAACAATGGAACTGCTGAAAATGTCACAGTCTGGCCAGAAGAAAGTGTCTCCATCTTCAAACCCTCCATTGGGGGAACTTCGTTCCTGCTGACTAGATGACCAGCCCACCGGACCGCGAATAAAGCTCCCTATAACGACGATCGAATGATGCTCCTCCCAAGCCAGGTGGAGATCCGGGCCGCAAAAGAGCTGAGAGCGGACTATACATCAGCCTCCCAATTGAAGAGGCGAGTGGCCAAATGGCCCGAAAAGTCAAATTCTGGGGATGAGACATTGCCAATGGGATCACCACATTGCTCGCAACGGCCAAAAAAGGTCAGACTCGAAGAATAGTACTCGTCACCGACACTCGGTGGGCAATATTGCCAACCATGGCTTTTTGATCGACAAGGCACTCGCTTTTGTCCCTCGCGCTCTACAGTTCTAGCAAGAAGTTGCTCTATTCAACTGGAGCGCAAGGAAGGGGAGGTGTACCGCCTGAGAACAAATGACCTAAGGAACTCGGAGTCCACCAATCGACCTTCTGCACTATCAAGACCTCGATGATTTCGTTCTATGGGATACTCTCTTAGAAAGCAAGGGAGTTCTACCTGGAGCGAAGTTTACAGAGTCGAGAAGTTATCTCTCTTGGCTGCTGAAGTTTACAGAACTGAGAAGCTACATAAGATCAATGCGTCGAAACCGCCTTAAACCCTCCTGAAATGCTGCAACCTCAAAAGCAAGGTGTGATTGTCCAACTTTTTCTGGTCCTTGACAGAAAGTCAGATCTTCTCAAACCTGAAAATATGAGGCACACGATTTGTTCAATCAAGCATTAGAAGAGAAGGAAATACAGAGACCCAGAACAATGGCACTTGTTTCTGATACCCGGTCTTTCATCCTTGCGAGATGGCGGAAGCAAGATGGTTGGCTTGACGGTGTTATACACACCCTTTCCTCCTGGGTTGTCTTGAGAGCGAAACCCATTCATGGGCTCGTCTTCTCGCAGCTATTTTCTCTTGACTTTTCTCCTGTACCTGTCTCCCCTTTTTGACAACTTTCTGCGATTTGTGCCACCTTTCTTTCCATCATATTACAATCCACCCTTCTTTGTTCGAAGCTTTCTGGAGACGATTCTTCAAAGAGCCTGAAGATAGGTGGGGAGGAAAAGAAAGAAGTAAAAGGATTTAGCTTGACAGGTAGTAGTCTCTACAAAGCGCAGAGGAACCGTGGTGAATCTCGCTACTCTGAGAAGAACAGTCTGAGAGTATGGGGGAGTGCAAAAAGAAGCATGACCTTTCCACAGAGCCAGATTCCCGGCTTTCAGAGAGACCGTGGTCAGGAAGAGGGAAGTGAAAATGGACAGAAAAGAGTACGGTGGTTGTGTCGGCTCTCTCCCCTCCACTATGGACTGGATTCTCTCACGCCCTCTCTTGGGAGGGCGCAGTTAGCAGTGACCCAGCTTAACCAAGTGGCTTTTTGGGGAGGATAATAGGGCCCCCTTGGCCAGTCGTGCCCGTAGTGCGTGCCTGGGCAAATAGAGAGTGAGTGGGAACGGGAGATGGACGGGGAAGGGGGTAGGAGGGGAGGGGAGGCCATCTCACTTACTCGTCGTCCCTGCGCCCGGTCCCGGGTCTGTCGTATTGGTTTTGCCAGGTTGCGTGCGCACACGCACTCGACCATCCCATCCAGGAGTCAGAGCAAGAAAGCTCGTCTGGTCTTGTCTTCGCCCGTGTTCGCAGTTTAAAATAGAAATGAAAAATCTCGATAGTATTGCAAAAGTTGGGAACCAGAAAAGAAAAAAAAGGGGATGTACAAATACACAGACATACGTAAACACACACATATACGTACTCGATATACTTGTGGGATAATTGAGACAGTGATGATTGCTGCTTGCTGCTCTCTTTGCGTCTTTACTTTTCCCTTCCCTTCTCCTCTGGTAATTTATCTCCCTCCTTTTTTCTTTCTCCCTCAATAAGTCCGAAGGGAGTAAAGAGCCGTAGAACGCGCGTGTTGGGCCCAGACAATGGCAGAACTGGGTAGGCAGGACTGGGGTAGATCCAAAAAAAAAAAAAAGAAAAGAAAAACGCTCCGGAACAACGAAAAAGAAAGAGGGAGAATGATGATAATAATCAACTTGAAAGAGGGAGGAAAGGGGGATTGGTGTGTACATGTATATAGGAAAAGGGAAACAGTCTGCACGAAGAAGGAGGGGGAGAGAGAGAGACAGAAACAAGAACAGAAATCTCTCTTTCCCTTTCTTTTTCTTTTTTTCTTTTTTTCTTTTTCTTCTTCTCTTCTTCCGCGCCTTACCCCCTTCAGATTTGTAAAGTAGAGCAAGAGCTTATCTTTCTTGTTCTTCCTCTTTTTTTTTTTGGTTCTTTCTCTTTGTTGCATACCCATCCATCCGTCCCTCTCTTCCTGCGTGTGTTGCGTGTGCAGACAAGAGGAAAAGAGTGGTGGGGGGAAGGGATTTCCAAGTTTCCCTCATATCTTCCCGAGAAGAAGTGGTGAAACTTATGATAGAGAGACAGAGAATATGTAATACCGAATGTAAGACGGGATATATAGGAGATAGTGATGTTCAAAGAGAGCTAGAGAGAGAGAGGGGGTTGGTTCTGTCCTCATACCTTTTGTTCCAATCCTCTTCCCTCAACCTGGGGGGTGTTCTTTGAACGTCTTCTCTCCTGGGTTTGGGACGTAGGTGCGTTATAGACGGCTCCCTAAAACAAGGGCACGCAGGAGAAGAGCCCGCTCGGCTGCTCAGCTGGACCGAGCAGAGCGCAAGGAATCGATCGGGGACTTGGGGGGCCGAACGTAAATGTATTCGTACTCGTAGCACATCTCCATGGGTATCATCTTTGTGTGAGCTCTCGAAAAATCGGGGCCTGCGGACAAAGACGATATGACGGGCTGGGAGGGTTTCGTAAGGCGCGAAGGAGATTCGGATGTGGATAGGTAGGTGGCTTTTTGTGGGATAGATTTGATGCAATTTGCATATGTAAGAAGAGGTCCCTTTTGTCTGCACCCTTTTGGGTCTTGTGGTGAACTGAAATCATGGATGTAAAGTAGAGAGCAGAGAAGAAAAGGGGAAGGGATGGAACGGTCCGTCCTCGAAGAGGGTCGGCTCGATTACTTCTACAGTCTCAGCTTAGCAAACAGGGGGGATCAGTGGCCAAAGTGACTTGAATCCAGAGGCTAAAACGACAGCAAGATTTTCAGTTCCTCGTACCTGTACATATTGCACACATTGGAATTTGCCTCCTCCCTCCTCCCTATGTTCGAGCTTCAAGTCCCATTAGTCCACTTCTCCGCCTTCTCACTCTCTCCCGACGTAACCCAATCCACGCCTCTCTCGGCCAGAAGCTCAGACGGCGTCTTGTCCTTCATCTCTGGCACAAGCTTCACGAGGACGTGCTCAAGAATGGCATAAACGAGGTACTTGTTCATCTCAGCATCGTCTGTCCACCCCAGTAATCTCTCCTCGACTTCTATCCGCATTTGCATTTCCTCATCTTCAACATTCTCGGCGTTTCGTACAGCGAAGAATGTCCTGCCCACAGGTTTAGGTATCAGAGAGAGAATGTCAGAGGCGGCCTTGGAGCGGATCTTTCGTGCTTCTTCCACAGACGGAGGAGGCGGCGGAGGCGGACCTAGACTATTGTTGGGAAATATGAGGACTCGAATCTGCAGGAGGAGAGGTGGGATCAATGCTGGTGAGAAGAGGCGTGTGGAGATTGTGTGATACAGGAATCTGTCCAAAGACCAATTGTCAGCAAATACCGCTCACTCGGAAGCATCATTTCCATCTGAACAAAGCAACAACGCGAGTTGTGAGCATCCCAGCCTGCTGTTCAGCTGGTTCAATAAGTTCTGTCAGGGTGTCGCTCTCGTCGCCGGTTGATTCTGGTGGCTCGATGTTCACAGGATCGCCCTGTCTTCGCGCTTCACGCTTCACCGAGGCGAGGGTCCGGTAGATCGACCCGGTGGATCTCGAACACCCAAACACCACCATCACCACCTCAATGCTGCCCAACTTGCCTCATCGTTGCCCATCAACGCCCATCACTCGATACCCAAACAGTTCCAGAACCTTTCAAGGAGTTTCACGTGACCTTGACATCCACGTCGTTACAGTGGACCGAGTAGGACAAGGCGTCAGGACTCAGGAGGTGCACCGGACTGCGCCGAAAACCGCCCGCATAGTTCGTGCAAAGTCTGTTGCGAGCATGTGTTCGCAGGACTGGCATTGGCGTGGTTGCTTGCGCATCTCAAGCGCGGAAAGACCTGGTGATCTAGGCCAGCGAGAAGCATGGCAAATACCTGGAAAAATAGCCCAATGTGTCCAGGCGCAGTTCTAGCCCACCGCAAGTCGCAGAAAAATGGCTTCAAGTGATGCGCAAACTGCGAGGAGAGACTAGTGTTTCTGCAGGCAGTATGCAGCAGATTCGAATGACCAGGAAACTAGGATCAAGGGTTTTCAAGTCTTCCTGCCCAAACGACGCAGGACTCAGGGTGTGGTCCGCAGTGTCCACTGTTCAAAGCTGACCAGCGAGTGATTTCGACTCTCGAAGCGCCACTTGCAAAGAAAATTAGGTTTGGGTGGAGTTGCTGGGTGCAGAATATTGCAAAAAAGGATGCCCAAGCCGAAGTTGGTAAGTCCAAGGGTCTCTGGAACTGGAGACGCAGACTAGTTTCCCGTCGAGGTTCGCTCGGGGTGACACAAGAACCCAACGGAGCCGTTGACGATTGCAGGCCCGACGAACGTGAATGACAGATAACGGATATTCGTGGGAGGTTGGGCTGACAGTCTCCGACCTGCCCGTTGGGCTATAACGGCGTGGTGACGTAAAAAGAATATGGTTTCGAAAGAGCCATTATCGCAATGCCTGAGCAGCTGGTTTGTCCCCGCGGCACGTGCCGAAGGAAGCCGACGACTACCGCTGAGGAAAGTGGGAGGCCGGACTTTATCTGACTCGAATTCGATTGCGGAAAAGCGCAATGAATAGGCCAATCGGGGGCGCAAACTGCCACCTTTTTCAAAATGCCAGAGGAGCGACGTGTTTCATTGGTAAGCGACTTCAAAAATGGCTCTTTCTGGTGAGATTTTGCCTTGGGCAAATCGAGGACTGTGGACTCGGGGGGCCGTCCGCTGATTCAGAGTCGAGACTAGCGAACTGAGCAAGTTGCGTGACAGTAATTGGTCGAGGTCGGGGTCGTCAGTCTGGGAGAATTGCAGGGCATCGGGGAGGGCAGCTCCAGGGAGACATGAGGGGAGAAGGGCGGGCCCGATCCATGTCGCCCTCCTTGTTCGAAAATTGGCACCATCTTTTCCCAGGGAAGCGAGAAAAGCCCAATAAATCCGGAGATTCGATTGGCTGCAACAAGTCATCTTTTTGCTTTTTTCGGTCGCCTGCCCCGAGGTGGTCGCTTCCTGAAGATCGTCACGATGGTCGATCGTTCAAGATAGCTTTGTCGACATGGCGTTGACGTACAGTTGGTCGACGAGCATGAGCGGGCGAACTCCACCAGCAGACAAGAGAGATGCTAGGGGGGATGACCACCAGACCAACAACCAGGGAGAAACAAACCAGTTGAATCTGGCAAGGCGTGGGAGTCCAAGTCCGTCCAATAGGAGGCCGTATCGAGCAGTGTGACAATACACAAGCGCAGTGTGACCGTACACAAGCGTGACCGTCATTACTCGTAACGGCCCGGATTGGCTGAAGACCGGTATCGTCTCGTGTCCCACACCCTCCTGATTCACACAGGGGAATGCCGAGCAAGAGTCTTGTATCCCGCACATGCTGATATCAAGGACCATTGGCTCACAATCGCTCTGATCCATCATATGACCAGAGATTCATGCAATCCCCCCAAGATAAAAAAAGGATCAGAGGGTTACCGAAGCCCCCGTAGTGAGACAGATGGGGGCACGGGGAAATGGAGTCGAGAACACGGGCGAGGCTGAGGGTCAGAGGCAGAGAGAAAAGAAGAGACGTGGCACTTACTTGTCCAGCGTGGAATTGGCAGCACCGTACCTGCCCGGGCCTGTGGTCAACAGGTGCTGCCAAAACCCCAATGAGCTTGCCAGCCATGGCATGCGGACGGCCAAATCGAGCATGCTCGACAAGCACGAGAACACTCTGTAATTGATCACAGCGCGTGGGGATCGATTATCAGGGGCCGATACTTGCCGTGTCGACAGCACGGGCAATTGGTCTTTGGACGGCGGCGTTGTGGAGCCGGCGAGGAGCTGCTGCTGATGGCGGGTTCTCCGGGGTGAATGGTGCGCGTAAGCCAGGCCGACAAGAATGAACCGCGTCAACTGGTATGCGATGAAGGCGTACTGAAGCAGTCTCCAGAACCACGCACTAAGAGATGATTGGTGCCGGGCCAACGAATAATTCTCTGGAGTGGCCGTATTGGAACTCAATAGGCCAAACTGCTCCAGCCGGCTTTGACGGCGGTCTGGCTGAAGGATTTTCTGGTCATTGACGGCATTGGTAGAAGACGCATGTGTAGGAGGCGATGTCACTATCTCCACCACTTTTGAGACAGTCCCGTGCAGGAACCACGGCTCGCAGAGTTTCGCCGCCACTGCCTGTCCGAGGATGAGGTCGGAGATGATATCGCTCACCAATGTTCTGAGACATGCGTTTGCCAGGTCCTCGGTTGGTAAGAGGACCGCCAATGCCCCCTGAATGAGAAGTTGTCGGTGGGCAGACTCGTAGGCTTGTTGCTGCTCCGGTGGGAGAGAAGGGTCGAGCGCCGGGTGTGGGTTCAGGGCGTGGTAGATTCGTCGGGGAGTTTCGCCGTATTGCAGAGCAGCTTGAGCAGTAGTGGCCGTCCTGTAGGCTGACAGAGAAACATGGTCAATATCGGGACGACACAACTTGGCTTTTCACGCTCTTCTGCTCACCAGCGATATGCCTCTCAACCAACACAGGTAACTCGTCCAGTATCAACTCCGTGATGTCAACCTGCCGTATCCTCTGTTCCAGAGCCCGACTGCAATGAGCAATGATCTGAATGACCTCATCCACAAATGTTCGGTCTGGCGTGATCTTGGAGTACCAGGAGTTGACAAAGTCCTTGATGACTATGGCAACCACTGCATACAGCTGAACATCTACCTCGTTGGAACTGGTAAGCGGCGGTAAGACCCCTTCAATTGGTGCCGGTGACACCCTCCGATCCGAACCATGACTTCCATCTGCCACCAACGTCCTTCTGATCAGGGACAGAGTCGCTCTTTCTGAGGTAGGGTCTGGAGCGGAAGCATCCTGGCGGGATCTAGTGATGGCAGGGGCTCGAGAGGTGGACCGAGGGCCCGGTGTGGCCCTGCTGTCAGCGACAACGGTCAATTGAGAAGACTGAGAGGTGGAGGAGGCCTTCGTTGCTATGGTCGGGAAGGGTGGTCTTGAAGGAGAGGAACTTGAAGCGGTCATGTCAGGACCATGGCGCAGAGGAGCATTGCGCAGGTCTTTGTAGTCAACCGCTCAGTGATGTGTTCCCGCTGGCCACGCTGGCAATGCAGGGGCGAGTAGAGGTTCGCTCACCGGTTTAGATGACTGAAGGGGTGTCGAGAGGATGTGTCAACGTATGATTGGTGGATGGGGAATTGTCAAGGCTGCGAACGAGAAGGAGGTGGACGAGTAAAAGTGGGAGACAAATTGGAGGGACGCATGCGGGAAGTGCTCGGAGGACCTTCCTATTCGGGGCCTATATCAGCACCATCAATGAGGTGGGCAGCGAGGTCAACGTCCGCCACTGGCCTAGTCATGAACCGCTTGGAATAAGAAGGATCTCGTGCTGCGTCTCAGGATGGGTGAGGATACGGCTCCCTCCTCCTTCAGAATTCCCATATGGCTCGACTGTGATCCGGGTAGGTCAGCATCAAATCCCCTCTGCGCCCCTCTTACTCATGGCCTCATACAGGTCACGATGTGAGTGATTTTGGTCCCTCCCTCTCAATGTGAAATGCCCCATGTTCATAGATCCTACTACTCATCAGGACGCTTGTGCCCTCCTCTTTGCGGCTTATCACCCATCCCTGAACCTCATTGGGGTCAGCACGGTCCACGGCAATGCGCCGCTATCAAAATGTACACTCAACGCCCTGAGTGTACTGGAAGCGATCGGAAAACCTGAAATCTCCGTCTTCCCGGGCTCGTCGCGTCCGTTCTGTCGTACCGTCCATACTGCTCCGGATATCCACGGGGCGAGCGGCTTAGGAGGGACAGACCTCCTTCCACAACCAACCCGTTCCGCCTTGACGCATGTCAGTGCCATTCTGGAGATGCGAAGTGCGCTTCTCGCTCAACCGAAAGGCACGCCGTATCTCGTTGCATCCGGTCCATTGACAAATGTTGCTCTGCTCTTTGCCATCTTCCCAGAGGTCGCAGAACACATTGCAGGCCTCTCCATAATGGGGGGCGCCATCGGTTCAGACTTTACCCATGTCTCGGTACGTCTCCTCTTTGCTCGCGCCGCTGTTGTCAATGACTGAGACTCCAATATACCGTGCACCGCCTGAAACTTGTGAGACCGGGGCTTTTCGACCCAGGCGCCTCTTTCCGAACAACGCTGACATCAGGATCTACACCGAAGATGGGCCAACCTTACCAAGATAGCACCGGCACCACTCATGCTAGAAGCGGAAATCGCACGCCCTTTGCCGAGTTCAACATTTGGGCCGATCCGGAGTCTGCACGTTCCGTCTTTCAAAACCCGCTCTTGAAATCCAAGACGACTCTCATTCCCCTGGATCTGACTCACCAAGCCTACGCAACACCCGAAGTCCAGCGCATGCTATTAAATGGAATAAACGGGTCGACGAGACTGAGGAGGATGTTTCATGAACTGCTCATGTTCTTTGCGCATACGTATGCTGAAGTGTTTGGGCTCACTGAGGGACCGCCGATGCATGATCCGCTTGCAGTCGCTGTCTTGCTGGAAAACCATCCAGAGCCCCAAGCCAGAATCGCCTTCGATGATTATGGTGGCGAGAGATGGGATGTTGATGTCATTTTGGAAGGGGAGCAGATTGGGAGAACAGTGATAGCAAAGTCGTTGGATGGCGAGGGTGTGAGGATTCCTAGGACACTCGATACATCCAAGTTTTGGCGGACGTTGGAGGAATGCATGGCCAGGGCTGATGAGGTTACAGGCTACGTGAAATGAACGGTAATAACTGATGCTCAAAGGGTGATTGAGATTGGAAAAACGGGGTCCATGGTATATAGAGGATGTTTGCCTGGACAGTAACTGGTGACGAGACAAGTATCATAGAGTAATCCACCCTGTTGAGGTCTGCTCTTTCTCCCTCTTTGCAATCAACATTCGTGTGCCAGATGATATTTCATCCCATTTCAGTGTCCTTTCCAGTGGTTAGAAGACCATTCGCTTCGAGTTCCTTGTCCCTTGCCATTAGAAGTAAACTTCTACGAATCCGTCAATGGCAGATTCGTCTAAAGAGACTTCTGAAAGCCTGGATTCCCCATCGCCATCCCCGCGTTTTACTTCATGCCCCTCCAACAACATCGTCACTTCCTGCACTTCCCTCGCTTCTTGCGTCAACCTTTCGACCTCAGCCCGTCTCGCCTCCGCAAGGAAGTCGAAGAATGCTCTGTATATCCTGTCGGCCCGGTGATGCGAGCATACCTTGGAGAACTTTCGGCCCCAACCATAGGGCTCTCCGTCCTCTTCGCCAGCCTTGCTCTCGAAGATCCATTTTTTGGGCACTTCGGAGTCGAACAGCCGATTCCCAACCACTTCTGAATGTTCGGTCCTCACCCGTACACAAAGGGCGTCAAGGTCAGGAAGATCCTGCAGCAGGACCATGACTGTCGGAGCCACGGTGGTATTTGTCCTCAGCCACTTGAATGAGACATGTAAATAAATGGGCACAGCGGTCTCTGCTATTGTGATCATGGTCGGTGCTGTCGTTGAGTCTTGCATGGGAACATCACTCAATTCAGAGTCCGTCGTGGATCTGGGAGCTCTGCGTATAGACTGCCGTGATTGTTTCCTTTGCTCACGAACAGCTCTCTGCACCTCTTCTTGGTTGGCGCCGAGGTGGTATTCTAAGAACTCGAACTCGTCATTTTCAGTCTCAAGTGTCTCAGGCCATGGGGAACCAGTCTCCTTTGTGTCCTTTATATTCTTTGTACTTGTAGATAACCCCGGGCGTGTAGCGATGTCTTTCTTTGTGGCAGACTTCACCACCTTGGACTTTGTGACACCACTTTGTTGATGTCGGCCTTGAGCCGAACTTTGACTCCGTGTCGACTCAATGAGATCTTCCTCGAGGATTGGCAAGATCCTTGCTGGAAAGGCTCTTCTGGCTGGCCGCAAAGGCAACTTCATATTGGACATTGTCTTATCTTTTGAACAAGTTAGTGATTGCTTGAGGTATGTTGCGCAAGAAGTTGGCAAATAATGACACGAGAGGCTCTGGAGAGTGGTTTAGTAAGATTCCAGACGAGGGAGAATAGTTGCTCGCTTTTAAGGAAATCAGCCCCCTGTGTTCATATTGGTATATAGACAGTTGTTCAGTTCACTGCCTTGGTGAAGGCAGGACTACCAGGGCAGGACTGTCAAGGCAGTGAGGGACTGCCTTTCTCGTTGAACAAAGACTGTGAACTTTGTGCAGAACATCCGCGTTCTAGGGGTGTGCGCGGCAGCCGATCAGGGGGAATACAGCTCCAGTCACTGTCGCCAGCGTTCTTGGTCCAATTATCCAGTGTATCGGTAACATGATTCTTGCATTTTTTGTGAACCATTCTCAAGGTGGACGATTCAGCCTCTTCGTATGTACTTGCGGAAAGTGTGCTCCGAATCATCTTGCACCAATTAATGTCACTCTGACCAGGTACACCGTTTCGGGCATCGAAGACGTCCACATGTTCGAGAAGTTTGCTGATCCTGAGGCCAATGGTCCATAATTCCATTCTGGAGACCATGCTGGCTTTGGCGGATCTGTCGTCCCATTGTCTGTAACCCTGCTTCACGCCATTGATGAGAACTTCAACCACATTCGCCCGGTTCGTGCCAGCTGCTTGCACCCATAGTGCCGAGATGTTACTTGTTTTGGATTTCACCTGCATCGAGCTGGCAGAAGTTGGCAGCCGTCTTTCGAATGCGAATCTGGCAAAGTTCGCAGGTAAACGTTCAATAGTGAAGAAAGTTGCTGCATCCTTGAGCGGCGACAAGCGTCCTTCAGGCCCAAATGCACGCTGATAACCCACGGGATGGTATTGATCAGCGAAGACCACAATGCTTTTGATGTATGCATTCGCAGTCCTCTCTACGAACAGGTCAGCTGGGAAGGACAACACACTAGTGAATTGCTTGACAGCGAGCTTGTCTGAGCAAGACTTGGAGCCGCTTGGCTCAGCATCCCCCCGGGCGGGCTTTCGACGGACGTAGCCCAGCAAAGAGAAATAACCCCGGCCTTGCAGAGGGGTGGCGGTATTGCTGTCAACTGACCACGGACTTGTGTCACCAGCAGGGAAAGATTCCATCAAGATCTCCATCGACGCATCACCACACGGCGCTTCGGTGGTAAAGAAGTAGATGGTCACATTGTCTTTCAGTCTGAACGGGCCACCCACACTCACCCCAGCCTCGTCTCGCGGGGAGAACTCCAGGTAGGGTGATTTGTAGTCTGGATCACCCAGGACTGCCTCGAGTTCCGAAAGGAGCCATCGATTGAATCCGCGCAACGCCAGGATCTCTGCGTGTGAATCATGGACCACAAAACCCTTACATCTGGGCAAAGCAGAAGCTGGCAGACACTTAGTTCCCGTGGCCAGCGAGACACAGGTTAGAGGAGGTACACCCTGTCCTTCACGTGCCAGAACCACTGCTGACATTGGCGTCCATTCGGTCGTGCCATCCGGTAAAGTGCGTGGTTTACATTTCGGAGGCAGCGAGTTGAAGGTCGACAGGGCGAGCTGTGCCACGCGTTCAGCAATGGGATTCATGGACGGGGGTGGACCAGGAGAAAAAGGGCGTAAAGGTACCTAGGTAAGTTTCTGTAGCTGAAGCCTGTCCATGGCTGTCGGTCAGCTGCAAACAGAAGCAGCAAGAGCAAAGATATATATATAAATATATTTATTTATTTGACGACGATGTCCATGGCGATGTGAAGTGAAAAGTCGCAGATTCAAAGACGCATCACGTGGGCGCAGGCAGCCCAATTCGGAACCTGCTCGTGCCCCCCATCCATCATCGCCGTGTTCCAGGTCGACGTTGTCGCCGTCATCGCCACCTCCATCTCCTCTTTACAAGCAGTGGCGGCCACCTCGTATTTCTATTTGGAACTCACCTTTGATTCGGTGGTGGTTGGGAGGCGACTTTTGTCATTGCGTCAGAAAGATGCCCTCTGTTGGTGCCCCCGTTGTCGCCTCTTAATCATTCTCCCACAACCTTCAAACCATCTCACAACTAGCACCGGGCGATCGCCGCCAGCACCTGAACTCGAGCCTGGAACCAGCTGGTGCCACGGCAAAACTCAACCAGCATCCAACCAGTGACCGGTTGATTTAGCCTATTCGACCCGCGACCCTCGACCCGCGACCCTCAATCCTCTCTTGAGCCTTTACCAGCAGTACCACCCCCATCCGGTCATTGTACTCTTCCATCCCCCACGGGCTCAGAAATTGCTTGATGGTCGTGGTCTCTGTCGTGTAAGAAGCGCAGAGAACTGCTCGGATCCCCGGACCCTCAGCTCAGCAGTGGTCATTCAATCATTGTCATCATGGCCACAAAGTTCTAGCCCTTCTCTACCATCTGGACAAATACTCCAGCGATCTCATACACTGTACCGATACAGCAATTAAAGGGTTTCCTTTTCCAATTATCCAGAGAAAAACAAGATACCCCGGCACGCGTTTCCCCCCATTTTGCAACTTGGGGAGACGCCACGGGCGAATCCACAATTCGACCGCTGACCCGCTTCTCACTTTCCCACATTTTCGCATCCGGTCGGACATCGCCATCAAACTACCTACTTCTCACTATCTTACCAACATCGTCCTTCGTCAGCCTTGTCCTTTTGAGCTGCAGACGACCAATTCATCCTATCTAGCCTCATATTTGCCTATAGTGGCTTGGACACACTGACTCTTCATCCATTATTTGGCCCACGCTGTTTTGCAACCTCGGCTCCTCCCACTTCCGTCAGTCTCACAATGTGGCGCGTTTGAAGCTGTCATCTCAAGTCGAGGACATGCCGTCACCCATTATCTGGTTCTTCTCCACCTGCTCTGCATTATGACGAGTTCATCAAAACAGTCTGGCCAGTCTCGAGGAGAATTGCGAAGTAACCTGCTCTCGAGTTCGGGCTTTATCATGTCTGATGCACGAAACCCCCGCATCGACAATCTCCCTCAACCTCAATCCAACACATCCGCCTTCGACACGTCATCACCTGGTTCCATTGATTTCAACTTTCCTTTTGCCGGTAGTCCTCATGGTAGCAGCAACAGTGGCATAGATGCTCCGCCAGATATCCGTTTGAGCCACAGCCAGGGTTTTCCTGGTCGAGGCTCGATGGTGGGTTATGCCAAAGGCAAAATCCCCAGTCCGCAACATCGAGCCTCTTTGGCCAGCATCGATTCGGCCTTTGACCATGATCTTTTTGGCGCCGCCGCGTTGAGCCAATGGGCTCCCGGTTCCGGCAATCAGCCACCTAGTAACGCAGATTCATCACCGAGGAAAGCCCCGAGCACCACTGAGCAGGAAAACAGAAAGCCTCAAGGCGACGACGAAAAGCCGCCGGCATGGAGCGAGCTCAAGACGAAGGCAGGAAAAGAGAGAAAACGACTGCCTCTGGCCTGTATTGCTTGTCGCCGAAAGAAGATCCGATGTTCCGGTGAAAAGCCGGCTTGCAAGCATTGTCTACGTGCTCGCATACCCTGCGTCTACAAAGTGACGACCAGGAAAGCTGCTCCTCGGACGGATTATATGGCCATGTTGGACAAGCGCCTGAAAAGGATGGAAGACCGCGTGATCCGAGTCATCCCCAAGGACGAACTCCCAGATCTGAACGCGACTGGCCGAGGTTCGGTCCGGCCGCCTCTGCCGGGCCAGGCGCTGAAGAAGGAGAAAGACCAGCCCAAGAAGCGGTCCGCCGACGAGGCTTTCACGCAAGAGCTCAATGACTGGAGGAGCTCTCGAGAGAAATCTACTTTGCTCGACCCCACCGCTGGTTTGCGTAAACAGCGCGAAGGCGAGAACAAGCTGTTTATCGAAGGCTCCGAGTCTCTCCCCCCACAACACATCCAAGAACATCTCGCCGAAGTGTTTTTTGACTGCGTCTACGGCCAATCCTACCTCCTTTTGCACAAGCCCAGCTTCATGCGGAAACTGAAAGCTGGCACGATCCCACCAGTCCTTATCCTGGCTGTATGTGCGATTTCTGCGCGTTTCTCGACACACCCGCAAGTTAGCACCGAACCGGCGTTTCTGCGTGGAGAGCAGTGGGCAACTCCCGCTAGACGCATCGTGGAGAAGCGTCACTACGAGCCCAACATCACCATCCTTACGGCAATGCTCATGTTGGGTCTACACTACTTTGGGACCTGTGAGGGCGGATTGTCGTGGTCCTTTGGCGGCCAGGCCATGCGGATGGGCTACGCTTTACAACTGCACCGCGAACTCGACCACGATCCCCTGGGTCGAAACCAAATTGCCAACAACTCGAATGAGAACAAAAAGGGAGGGCCCAAACCGCCCGAACTCTCCTTTACAGACCGGGAAATCCGCCGTCGAACAATGTGGGCCTGTTACCTGATGGACACGTTCAACTCGTCCGGAACCGAACGCCCTTCCTTTCTCAACGAGGACTACTACCAGATCCAGTTGCCGATCAAAGAATCACACTTTCAAATGGAGGTGCCCGGCGCCACGGAAGACCTGTACGGCAATGTGCCCATGTCCAGCGGTAACAAGTCATCGCTCGACAACAACGCAGGGGACGTCGCCGCCGAGGCAAAAGCAAACATGGGCGTCGCCGCGTACATCGTTCGTGGCGTGGTCCTCTGGAAACGCATCGTCAAGTATCTCAATCTGGGAGGCAAGGAAAAAGATCCGCATCCCATATGGGACCCATTATCTCAGTTCGCGACCCTGCAACGCCAAATTTCCCAACTGAAATCCTCTCTACCGGACGACATCACCTACACGCCGGAAAATCTCGCCACACACGCCTCTGAACGTCTCGCGAACCAATACCTCTTGCTGCATATCATCCTGGCCCAAACCTCCCTCTTTCTCCACCGCTTCGCTATCCCTACGCAACCCAGCCACAGACCCCATCACCATTACTACACCCAGCAAGGCATGCCTAAGGCGTTCCTCACGGCATCCGCCAATATCGTCCTCGAATCCGCGAGCCTTATCAGCAAACTCATCGCCGACGCGACGGGTCACACCCTGACCGTTCCCTTCGCGGGGTACTGCGCCTACGCTGCCGCGACGGTGCATGTCTGGGGGATCTTCTCCAAGAACTCGGCTCTCGAGCAGCAAAGTAAGGAGAATTTACGGCACAACTACAAGTACCTCACGAGGATGAAGCGGTACTGGGGCATGTTTCATTACATGGCCGAGTCAGTCAAGGACATCTATCGCGCCTTTGCGGACGCTACACTTCGTCACGCCCAGGCTCGACCGGGTCCAAATGGGATCGGTGCTCTGCGCAGACATTCATCCGCCACAGGAGGAGGAGGAGGAGGAGCAGGAGGAGGGGGGAGCGGGACGCAGACGCCCATGGAACTGGACGCGACCGCAACGCTGATGTCCAACACCAACCCGCCTTCTCGCTCCGATACCCCCGCAGACCCCAACAAACCGCAATCCGAAAAGGACAAGTCCAAGACCATGTTCCAGTACGGCGACTGGTTCGACAAGTACCCGCACGGCGTCTCCGAAAGCGAATGGGAAAAGTCCCACTTGGAGTACCGCAGCGAACACGCCCAGGGCGGCGCCGAGGCCGTCATGTCCCAGAGAAGTGATTTGCAGTCGGTGGAAGAGTTCTTCGCGAGTCTGAGTCCGCCGTCAAAGGCTGAGGATGGCGCTGGTGGCCTGGCTGGGAGAGGGAAGAAGATTCCAAGGAGAAGGGGGAAGAGCGTGGCGGAGAACAAGAAGGCGGACAAAGAAGACAAAGGAGAAAAGAGTAAGGGCAACAACAACAACACATCGAGTTCGACTACGGCTGCGGCTGCCGGCGCTGGAAGCGGAGCTGGTTCGTCAACCACGGAACTGCAGGACTCGCAAAGACGACAGTCAGTGTCCCAACAATTGGCTGGACAGCATCTCCCAACCACAAGTGCCGCCGATCTCAGCCTGAACCTCAACCTCAATCAACCATTTGATCTCGCGAGCTTCGACATAACATCCCCATCACTGTATCAGAACGCCCAGTTTTCGGACCCTTACACCTATGGTGGTTCACCGACATCGCCACACTACAACAGTCTCAGTTTCATATCCACCCTGCCGGCCATCGATAGACAAATGGTCTTTGGCGCCGCATATGCCGGCATGGATCCTACGGGCACCGGCGGCGGCAACAGCGGCAACCAAAACAACGCTTCTTCAGGACTCAACAATCTCAATTCTCCCTCGGTGGGCAATTTTGCGAGCACAAATCCTTGGGATCAACTCGATCTGACGACGTATGGATTTAATGATCCGTTTGCGGGAGGCGGGACCAGTGGGATGGACACAAGTTCCTCGGCGTGGTTGTTACCGTTTAACATTGAACCACCGAATTTCGGGGGCGGTGGCTTGGAGGAGTTTGGCAACAGCGCGTTGGATGGGATGGATCTGAGTGATCTTGGTCAAGGCGGAGATGACGTTGGTGGACAGTTTGGTGGAGAGCAGAATTCGGGCAATACGTGAAAACGACAGTTTCGCAGTCGACCAAACGAATTGAGGGAGAGGTTGGTCCAACAGTGATGATATATATGGAGCGATCGGCCTGAGCTGTTGCGTGGCTGCATTGTAAAACGTTCGATTTGCTTGATGTGAGGATTCAACTCTGCGCAGCCACGAGCCACGGCAGTATATGTTCGCCGGAAGTCTCACAAAGTTTGAAGCATGACGAGTCAGATGTCTTGCAAGGGGTAATAATACGGTCCACTTTGTGGCTTGGTCAATCTTCCCACTCTTCATCGAGCTGGTCAATCAATCGGTTTTCGTCGTCCGGGGTGCGGTTGCGTCCGTGTGCTCGTTCCTCGGTGCCCACACGATGGTATCCACGGCGGCCGGCAAAGAGTTGAGTGAGTCCTCCAGGCATCCTTTGCGTGCATGAGGAGAACAGGAGAACAAACATATCCTATATATGCAATCGGAAAATAATGAGGTTAGCCGTGTGCTTTCAAGGCAAGTCCGACTTCCAATCGTGATCTCTCCCAGTTGCCGCATAACGCTTTCGACGTGGCCCCCCAGAATAGGGCCTCTGTAAATAGCACAGTGTGTAAGGGAACATGACACGACCGAATGGATAAGCAGATAGGAAAGGAGCAGAACCACATACCGAGAAGAAGCCAAAGATACCAGCCCACATGGCATAGTTTGGCAACTGTCTCCAACCTCTTTGATGGAGTACATTACGCTGATAAACAATACCACCGATGAGGTATACCAGCAAGGCAATACCTGCGATCAGACCAAAGACTGCGCCCGGACCCAGCGTGCCTTTTTCTCCGGACTGCGTGGTGCCACCGCAAGCATAGCGGGATCTGACTTCGAAGACGTAGGTACAGTGGTCTGGAGAACCAAGGAAGTTGATAGCAGGACGGGTCGAGAGAAGCGGGGATGTGTCACAGATGAAGGACAAGAGGGTGGATTTGTGCCTGTTGTTGGTCTTGTCTGCGACGAGTTCCGCATCGATAGGCTTACCATCGTCATCAAGGTCGGGACAGGGTGAGCCCATGGTGTAATTGAGGACAAGCTTCTTGCCCCGAAAGAGAGGCTGGTCGTTCTGTTGACCAATGCTATAGATGTCACCACGCGAGTCTTTGTAGTAGGCCGAGATGTTTTTCAGTCTGCTGGAGGGTATTCCTTCGACATCTTCCAACTCTTCAACCACTGGGCCGCAGAAATTCATGGTGAAATTGGCGGGATAGTCATATCCTTTTGAATGGTATGAATCATTACTGGCGGATTGGTACTTGGTACCCTCGAGGGTCAATTGTAGAGGGCGAAGATCGAAGAACGAGCCGGTTGAAGGAGAGTGAATGGTACATGGCTTCGGAGGGGTTTTTGAATCGGTCGCTGCGAGAATTGAGGGTAACGATGAGAAGAGGAAGAGTAAGATTGATTTTGAGAGGTACATGGCTGGCTGGTGGTCCAGGAGACTGTGAGTGGCAGGTCTATCAAGATTTGCTGCTGGATGATCTTGGTGAGATGGAAAAAGATGGGAAGCTGAAGGTTACAGTAACGCCGGCGCAATGCAAGTGAATGCTGCACTCGGTATGAATAGATCAAAGCCGATTGTGTATGTAAAGGATAGGATGGGTGAATGATAGAAAGGAGGCAGTCGCAACGGATGCCTGCTATGTATGAGATTAGGTTCAAACCAGACCCTTCAGCAATGCGGCGAGCGGCCTGTAAGATTATTTGCAGATGTAGTAGTACGAGGAGTAAGGGATGGAGGTGGACAGTACCGAGTACCAAGTACCGAGTACGAGTAGCAGCTTGATTGTTGCCCGTGTTCCTGGGTCCTGCGGATCCACGGGTTGAGTTGCCAATGGCGCCAGCCAGTGATGCATCGTGATAAACTGCGACTCACCCTGACGGGCGCTGCTTTTATATACATTCACCTCCCACCTCACATTACCTACGCTCACCCTTCGCTCACCTCCCTCCCACCTGGCACTCACCTTGACTCTCCCTCGTCTTGAGGGTCGCCCCTTACCTACGGTCCTATGTCCCACGCCGACCTCTCCACCGGGTCCTCAAATTAGCGGTAGTCGACATGGCCCATTTCCCGGTCCTTATGTCGTTCTAATCCCCCCTTGCCGCGAGAACCCTCTGACCTCGTTCTGTATAGACATGTTCGGCGGCAACTTTAAAGTCCCCTGGTCAAGAATTCGACAACCTCAATTGGTTTTGGGGCACCACGGCGGCACTCATCCTGTTCCGCTGCCTTTGCTTCTACTGGTGTAAGAAAGCCTATAAAATTGTGTGACGGGACAGGAAATGGGTAGCAGGGACGTGGATAGTCACGACGTCGTAAACAGAGCGTTGTAAGAAGGTCGATGAAGGTGTGGACTGGGAAAAAATGCTGCACATAGGGCGAATGCGAATAACGAGGCGTTGGGTATGCAGGAGTAGAGCTTACCAGCCTGCTAAAGTAAAGGGCTCTCGTGCAGAACAGCGAACGTCCGTGGGCTTTGCTCTGGCTTGTTGAATACATAGTGAGCCAGCTGTGATGTCCTCGAATCACAGTCGATTGCAATGGTGGAATGGCCTTCTTCGCGGGATTGGTAGAACGAAGCGTGTTTGAACATTCCAGGAACCGAGTTGCTTCATTCTGCTAACTCAGGCTTCTATGTACATGTACTTAGTGATCACCCCCTAGGGAATGGGGTATAGTTACACCACCTGCTACAGTCACTCCCTGCAGAGCGCCGTCTCGGAACTCCTGTGCCATCTCTGCCAGAGTACACCACTTGACTCCGCTGTGGCCGTTGATATATTCGATCAGCCTCTCATGCATCAGGATCACATGCGCCTTGCCGCTGACTTGCGGGTGGATGGAGATGGGGAAGATGAACTGGTCGTACTCGCGGTAGTAGAAGTCGAACTGGTCCTTCCACAGCCGCTCCACCACGCACGGGTCGACGAATCCGTGCGTACTGGCCTGCTTGAGGTTCAGCTGCAGCGGCGGCCAGTCATCCAGATGCCAGTTGGCTGGGATTTCGACGATCGAGCTGGGCTGCAGCGCCGACATGCCCACCATCCAGTCAGAAGCCTTGACGGGAGTTTCTCCGTCGCCGCGAACCCGCGTCATGCTCGTCTCCTTCCACCGAGGGACATATGGCAGCCAGTACGGCTGCGAGTCATGGTACATGAAGCTGTGGTCGTACTCGAGCCCGAACTCTTCCAGCAGTTGTACCGTCTGGCGCGAGGCCTCGAACCCCGGCGCCGTCCATCCCTTCGGTCGCGTGCCCGCTATCTTGGTGATGACCTCGATGGATTCTCGGAGGACCTCGCGCTGCTGCTCCTCGTCCAGTGTGGTCACGTACTCATGTGTCCAACCGTGAAGGCCTCTAATTCATCATTTTATTTATTTGGTAAGCAGCCCAAGGTTGTGTGAGACGGGAGAAGAATGTTGCCGCGGAATGAAAAATCAACGACCCTCCCGGCCCTTCAACCATGTGGAGAGCAATATAGCTGTAGGGAAAAAAGGAAAGGCTCTCACATCTCGTGTCCGGCGTCTCGAACTTTCCGTACTGCATCCGGGAAAGAGACGGCAGTGTGTGCTGGGACGAACCATGTGGTCTTGATGTTGTATTTGTCCCACAGCTTCAACAGACGATCCGTGCCAAAGGTCGCTCCAAAGACCCCTCGCGAGACATCGGTGGCTGATGCCGGTGTGCCATTTCTCGTGTTGATCCTAAAGAAACAGACAAGTGGAACACGTCAAACTCACGTCAGTTCCCACTGCAGACATTTCGGGGGGAAAGACCAAAGAGAGGGAAAAGGAGAAAAAAGCCTACCATCCACTGATGGCGTCCAGGTCGATCCCATACCCTACAAGAACACGCTTCATGGTTCGGCTCGCACACACAAGAAGAAACGATGCTTAGTATGTGACTGGGCTCACAGCGACGGTTCTTCCAGGATTCCCCATACTTTTCTTAGTCCCCTCATTGCGATGCCAGGCACAAATGGAAAAAAAAGGGGCCTCTGCTTTGCATACCGCCGATAGGGACCAAGAGATAGGTGTACTAGTGAGAAAGTCGCGTTCGGCATTCTTGGGAGGTCGCCGAGGAGGTATATAGTGGGCGACAAGGCGTTGGATGATTGGGCGGAGTACAAAGTTGATTGATTGATTTACTATGTTAGACACTGCGCCGAGTAGTTGATGCAAACCATGTCTCAGTTGGATGGGACAAAATATATACCTGAATGTCGCTACTTCTATACTGGCAGAAGACTCCAGGATGGCAGATGTATATAATGTAGACTCCCTACTTAGGCGGGTATATCTACGTGATCGAACACTGCCAGATGCAGACAAGATGGATGGCCAATGGACCTCGCAGATTTCGAATGCCCTTCGCGCAGTGTCATGTCAGTGTGCAAGCCAGTCCGTTCGAACTAGACAGGCAGATTCCTTTGGGCACCCCCGTGTCGTCGACTGTCAAAGCCAGCCTCCGGGGTGCGCTTGAGGTAGTCAACCCCGAATCCATTTGGACCGGACACAAAGGCCAATCCGTGGTGCTTGTAGCCTCCTGTAAAGCTTTCCTGTCATTCGTGTCCAAGCTCAGCTAAGAGATCCCCCAGCCCTCCGGACAGACTCCTATCCATAGACTTGCTTGTTGACAGCGTTGCGTGGCTTTCCGCTTCCGAAAAAGAACTCGTCGAGATCGTCCAATTGTCTCTTCTCGATGTTGGTCCAACTTGTCCGACTGCAGGTGCCGATGTGAGGCAGTACAGTGACCATGTAGTTCTCTCGTAGGGCCGGGTTGATATTGGGCTCATCCGCGTGAACGTCGAGCCCTACTCCGATGACCTTGCCCGCCTCGATCGCGCTCAGCAGGGCTGTCTCGTCGATCAGCGCGCCGCGGCCCACGTTCACGATGCGCAGACCCGTCGGCTTTGCAAGGTTGAACTGCGGCGTGGACAACATGTGAACCATGTCAGGCGTGCATCCACATGCCAGACACAGGCAGTCGGCCGCGCTCACCAGCGAATCCAACGAGGCATGGTATGTGGCTCGGCAGCCCGGCGCGAGCGTCTCATCGCGCTCGCTGAGCTGGCGCCGATTGTAGTAATGGATCTCCATGCCCAGCGCGGTCGCTGCCTTCCGCGCAGTTGCACGTCCGATGGAGCCCATGCCGACGATCCCAAGGACCTGACCTTCTGGGTCGATGGCGAGGGATCCCAGCGTCCGGCTCTTGTTCCATCCGCCGTCCTCCAGCGTCCTGGCACATCTCTCTGCGAAGGAAAGATACCGGAACGTGTTGAGGATCAGCATGAGGGCGACGTTGGCCGTCGCCTCGGTGCACGCCTCGGGGGTGTTGCAATACAGGATGCCGCGCTCCGTCATGCGCGCCACGTCCGCGTGGTCGTACCCGTGACCGGAGCAGCAGACCAGCTTGAGCGACGGCGGCATCAGTTCCAGCGGCTCTCCTCGCAGGAGCAGCTCAGTCTGCGGCGCGAAGGGCCCAGCTTTGAACCAGCCCGTCCACACCAGCGCATCGATCCGTGTGTACGGGTGACCGGGGGTCTTCAGGCATGCAATGAACTCGTCCACCGTGGAGCAGTCGTAGTCGAGAATGTCGAAGCGGCTTTGGATGTCCTTCCAGCGTTCAGCGTCAATTTCACGAACCGAAGAATTGACGAACAGCACAATCGGCTTCCTCTTCTGGCCGGTTGCTGCATCCCGAGCGGAAGAGTCGCCGTGGGTGATTATGCCGTTGGAATGAGTTGACGGCATCAGTGCAGCTGATCCAGGCCGATCTTAAGCCTTGCTCGTGTGGCAATTGACCACGGATATCTGTTCCTCCTCTAAATCCCGACGACCTTCTCATCAGCATGGCCAGGCGTACTGACGTCCATCGTGCACTTTTTTCAGGTCCTGGAAGAAGGGATCGCCTGGATGGGAGAGCAAGCGCCATTCTTCCCGCCATACGGACTTACTGCCAGGGACCGTCCTTGCCCGGACTGTGGAACAGGAGCATAAGGACCTGCCGCCTTTGATGGGCGGGTCGACAGGGAGCCCAGTTATTGCGGCCATTGGTCCACAAGGAACCTTACATTCGGGATAAAATTGGCCTTATACCGGGGCCCAGGAGACTTCGGCATAAGGGATAAGGGAGCCGCGTTGTGAGGCCGACAGACACTGACGTGCCTTTACAACCGAGGACGCTGGGAGCACCGACGGCAAAGTCAGCTGCTTTCATGCCGTGTTCTAATTCTTGCATTCTTAGAAACGCTGCGCGCAGGTTCAAGGTGTGATGAATAATGGACTCATGGTTCAATCTCCTAGAGTGGCTTCAAACAAGGTCTCGCCCACAGGCTCTGTCTAAAAGGCTCGTATTGCAGCTCGTTAAGAGCCGAAATCCAGCTCAATCGTTTCCTCCACATTGCACGGTCTTCCCACTCTGACCACCGCCCGCCTGGCTTTCAGATCCATCACAATATTGAACAGTGTGGCGCTGAGGCTGCCCGAGTCCTTGTCAGGCGACCGACATATGGCCGCCGGCCAGTTCTCTTGGTCCTCAAACAGTGCTGCAATGTCTCCCCACGTCGGTACTTCAACTCTATCATTATCATTGTCTTCCTCATCGTGCACACCTCTCGAGCGATTTTGGAGGCCTGAAATCAGGGTCTGGATGCGCTGAAGGCGAAACTCCGAGTCGGGCAGCCATTTAGGCTCATTCACCCCCGGATGTTCCCTGAGGAGGTGGTTCGTGTGCACAATTCGTCCATCCTCGTCCGGCCGGATTCTTGCAATTGTTGACGAGGTGACTTCTAGTCCCGTTGCGCTCATGGCGTCTGCGATCAACAGGTGCGCCGAGCTGGCCATGCCACGTGCTTCCAGCACCGCAACGGCGTCCAGGGCCGACTTTTGTTCTAGAGCCATGCGCAAGCCGAGATGGACGGGGATTCGCTTCGAATCCATCCCCCCGGCGCGGATCGCGTTGAGACAGACTCCGACACCACATGAATTCAGCCCGATCTTGCCAATGATGCCGGCTTCTGTAATCATCTTGATCGTCGGCAAGTCGGGCTGGAAGATGTTGATTTGAATGAGATTTTCCTTCTGTGCTTGCATCCACTATAGCGCAGATTGACGCAGTATATCAGCATATCAAACAGTTGTTCTCAGCCAGGGTCTTGTCGGGAGAAGGGCAAACAGGAGTACACGTACATCCCAGTTCTGAGCGAGGAACGCATGGCGTCCAGTTTTCCAGGAGAGACTCGTGCAGCCATCGCTGAAAAGCCCGAAGGCGATCTCCGTCCGCACATTAAGTGCTACGACGTCCACCATGTCGACTTTGGCTCCATCGGCAATTCCTTGGTGACGCAGAAAGCACAATTTTAGTGATCTGCAGGTCTCGCTCTGCCATGGACAGCTGCCTTGGTCTTTGACTAAGCTAAGCCAGATTTCTTTCGTGCGTACCTCTCATCTCCTCGTGATACCGGGGCCACCGCTGGCGAATCTCACTCGCAAAATCACCGGCAATTTCCCTCACTTGTGGCCATTGTCGCTTGCTGTAACGGACGAACAACCCGGAGTAGAACGCCATACATCTCTCAATAGCTTCTTTCGCCGCCTCTCCGTGGCAGCGTCCGATCTGGTAGCAAACGCTGGTTAGGCGGCGATGTACTTCTCAAGCCAAGGAGTAATATTATCATCAGCATGAGCATCACCACAAACCTCATATGGTGAACTCTGCAATTGATAGTGAGCATGGCGGCTTTCTCGGCCTGTGGCGGCTGTTGGACAGCCAGAGTTGAACAGTAACGGTGATTAAGGTCAGGGCGTATCTATTTCCATCAGGATATCGTGGGAAAGCCGGTAGGATAGATTGGCTGAGGAGTTCGGGTTCTTCAGGCGAATACCTCGATCGGCTGCACACCCTGACACCGATATGCTGTTGTGGATCCTTTCGGCCCAAGGACTTCCTCCGCCGAAGCAACTGCGCTCCAAGGAATTTAGAGAGCTGCGTTAGAAGTGACATGATAAGCACACATGATGGATAGTGTATGGCCACTTCCTCATCTTTCATTTGTCAGAGTCCCGCGAACGTCTTAGCAAAGGTGCCATGGAGGATCAATCAGGCGCTGTGTTCAAGTCCTCGCCGCGCCATACAGATCTTGGTTCTGTGCGTCCCATTCGAACACCCATTGCGGAGGTGAGACTGTGCTTCCCACGACAACACCACCAAATGCATCACCGGCAGCAGGCCACTGAAAGTCCGAGAACGACAGAAAATTCTCAATGAAAGGGTCATCCAGGGCGGATCCGGCGACAAGTGCATTGGTCACTGGAGGATTGCTTGCCTGCACGTGTTGGAGCACAGGTACAGCAGGCATGGAGAGTTCAGGTTGAAGATTGTCCGGTGCGTCTGGTGCGTCTGCTGCTGCGACAGCAGCATCTGTATCTTGGGTCAGATGTATTTCCTGTACGGTGGCCACGATCTTACAGTCTTCGACGTGTTGGCTCTTCTCCTGCAGAGAGTTTACCACCTCTCGTAACTGCATCAAGTGGCCGTAGTATCTGAACGCCGGTAGGTTGCCATCTTCGGACATGGATTTTAATAGGTGAGTGGCCGTGTCCAACGCTTCAGCATCGGCTGCGCTAGGTCGCAACAGTGTCGCGGTCAGTAGGACAAGGGTCGAGGAAAATAGATATTGCGCGTCGAAGTAGCCAAACAGGGCAATCGAACCATCAACCCAGAGCTGAGTTAAGATCTGGTTCGAGCTTCGAGCAGCATGGATACATGCATCGGCTAGAGCTGTGGTGATAGCCGACACTGGCCGAGGGGTTTTTGTGGTCTGATCTTCGAGAATCGGGTTGAATTTGGTCTTCAACACGTGGAACAAAATCGGCCGCGTGGTCAAAATCACACCCTTTGTGAACAGTGGTCGTTAGGACTCTGATGCCGCCATGGGGAATGTCAGGGGCCAGCTACTGCCACGCACCTGATTGAAGCACAAATGGAGGGACGCCACATGCCTCACCGGATAGATGCGAGATGAGTCTTGCTGCAACCGGATGCTGCTGGGGAGAGTCTCTGCCCACGTCCGTAACTTTCGCAGGACCATTTGCACGCTCTGCACGGACCTTTGTCCCGGGCGCTTTTTGACGTAGATGTGGTTCATGATGTCCCCCGTGATGCGCGCCAATTGCACATTGGCGACCAGATGATCTGGCTCTGAGAATTCCGCTTTCTCCGCGGCGGTCAGATTGTCCATGGACGGCAAATCCACGTCGATGTCTTCGTCTCGGATACTGGTGGGGTGGCCCAGTTTCGAGCTCCAGTTCCGGTCGAAGATGTACACAGTCCACCAGACACGAATCCGACGCTCTCGCTCCAGCGGACTGAACATTTGATTGTCGGGAACATTGTGGTGAAGCCCGAGAGTCAGACTCAGTCGGAGAGCGATCCCGGCGTAGATATAGGCCGAATTGGCCCGGTTCAATGCTAGAGAGTAAAGAGACTTCACATCAACATATCAGTCCAGCGTACTTAGACCTTTCTAAGAATGACACCTCGATCAGACACAACTTACTATAAGAAGCAGAGCCTCAATGTAGGACATGGTGGCCTCCTCGCGGATTTCCTGAAACAGACTCATGGCTCGAACAAAAAAAGCCAGACCTGGAACATCAGGGGCGTTCTCTAGCCTCTGGTCCTCCTTTGCCCGGTTGGTGTACAATTCTCCGAGCGCAAATATTGTGAACAGGCGACATGCCAGCAGCGGATCTTGTTCTACGGTCAGTTGTCCGCTGTAGAGACTGTCCAGTTGCTCCAAGGTATGTTTCCGCATCATCAGATGGTAGTCTAAACCCACGAGACGTATGGCGACCCTGATGAGCAAATGTGCATGAGCACGTCCCGGCAGTTCGTACTCGGTGAAGATGTGTTGAAACAATGTCTTGTCGCTGACGAGGCGAGCCGGCGGGATGGGCGCCAGAGAGGTGCTTCGGTCCAGATACTGATAAAGGCGAGTCCCAAAGGATGTGCAAGAAGCCTCCCCGATATAGGCCGCTTGCGACGAACTGTAATCGCGCACAAAACACATACGATCCTCGATTAGTGGGTGAGATATCTCGACATCAGCCATGCTGAGACTGCCCACGGCCTTCTCATGGCGGTGGCCCTGAGAGGGCGAACTAGACTGTGATGCGGCTGCAAGACCGGCAGCTGTATTTGCGGCGGGAGACTCCTGCGCCGCTCTTTTGAGCCTCGCATTCTCCTGCTCAAGTCGCTTGATCTGACTACACACGCGTGCCAGGGTCAGTGAAAAAGAATAGTATCCGTATCTGAAAGACGACACACCTTTCGGGAACCAAGATCTTCCGGTCTCGCCTGGGATACACGCAGTCGGCGACATTTTTGGACTGCACGCAGTTCCGGCACGGTTGTCCACGAGAGCATTTGATCTTGTGGGCGTGGCATCGCACGCAACTGTTCAACAGAAGAGACCCATTAGTCCCTATCCTGGAACGCGTCGCCTCCCTTCGTAAGGGAAGTTACATACGCGCCATCGCGTCTCACGCGTTTTGCGACAGGAACAGCGGCAGCCGCTGCATCGATGGGCGGGGATTCCTCGTCGGTGTTTGTCTCCATCATGGCACCGGCGTTATTAGAGATCTTGGACAGGAAGTTGGTGTCTTGACGGCGCCGCGAACGCCTTTGCCCGCCGTCCCGGGATAATGAGCTTGTTGTCCCGTGGAAGCACTACCCAGAATCCAACAGCTGACTCGCAAGATGACAAGAGGGGAGAAGAAAGGAGTGGGATCTATAGAAATCCGGTTAACCCGATTGTCGTCGGCGATTGTCTCGGTTAACCCGAACGCGAGGATCCAACCATTCGACACTAGGTGGGCCTTTTGGGAGGAGCTACCATGCCAGAAGAATTAGAGCATACCATGACTCTGCATAGAATGATAGACAGGCACGATGATTCACGACAGGTACAAAAGGCCTGGCTGTGGGCTCTTTCTACAGAATGCACCGTTTCTCATGGCAAGAGAGTCATCCCCACTGACCATCCACTTCGTGGATCAGTCCCGCCTCTCTCGAAGCAAATGAGGGATTCGAGACAGCCTTTTCGGGGATTGACCTACAATGCCGAACCAGACCAGGCAAGACAGTGATACTGGAGGAGGACTCGGCTTTGGGACAAGACGCCACTTGCAGCTTAGCAGGTTGTTGCCCGAACAGTGCTGCGGCATCAACAGAGAGGCAAAGAAAAGAAAGAGGAAAAAGACAATGCTTCGTTCCCAAGTGACAGTCTTTCCCACCTCACAATCGTGAAGTTATTGAACGAGCCATGGCCTTGAAGGTTACGAACTCGTTCTTCTCGAACGTCTCGGCTGCTCCATCGGATCCAGCATTCGCGCTCACGGATGCTTTCAAGACAGACGCTTCTTCAAGCAAGGTCAGCCTCGGATCTGGTGTGTATCGCGACGACGACGCCAAACCGTGGATTCTCCCCGCGGTCAAGAAGGTGCGTCCTCCTCTCTTTGCGGCTTGTGTCGATCTTCTCTCTTTCGCCCGTCAATGGCCTGATTATGCCATCAGGCTAAGGCCAAACTGAACGAGGACCCGGGGACTGACCACGAATATCTTCCCATTGTCGGTCATGCCGAGTTTATCAATCTCGCGCAAGAATTATTGTTCGGCACCAAAAAATTGGACGTTTGCTCTTGTATAGCCTCAGTGCAGTGCATCTCAGGCACCGGAGCGAACCATCTCGGAGCCCGATTTCTTGCAGACACTCTCAAGCCATGCCGGGTGTGGATCTCTGACCCTGCTTGGGGCAATCACCACTTGATCTGGACATTGGTCAGCCCGAACGGAAACATTGATGGGGGACACATTCAACAAAGACTTTATCCTTACTACAAGGAGACTTCCAGGTCTTTCGACTTCGACGGCATGATGGATACATTAGAAAAGGACGCAACGGAGGGTGATGTTGTCATTCTGCATGCTTGTGCGCATAATCCCACCGGCCTCGATCCGTCTCCCGAGCAGTGGGAGGCAATCGCCAATCTTTGCGAGAGGCAGAAGCTCTTCCCTTTCTTCGACTGTGCATAGTAAGTCAATCAAACTCGACATGCCCTCCACCACCCTCTCACTTGTCCTGGATCTCTCACGACACGCACAGTCAAGGTTTTGCGACGGGATCCCTTGACGCAGATTCCTTTGCAATCCGGCATTTCCTCTCTCGCGGGACCATGGAGTTTGGCGTCGCACAGTCTTTTGCCAAAAACATGGGTCTGTACGGCGAGCGGGTCGGTGCATTTCACCTCGTCACGTCCTCTACCTCTTCCGCGACTCAGACACGCTCACAACTTGCCCGGCTACAGCGTGGCGAGATCTCAACGCCCCCAGTGTACGGGGCCCGCATCGCCGCGACAGTGCTCGGCGATCCAGCACTCTTCGCCGAGTGGATGTCAGATCTACAGACTATGAGTGGACGCATCAAAGACATGCGACGGGCTCTCTACGATGAGCTTCGCAGGCTACAGACACCTGGCAAGTGGGACCACATAGTGAAGCAGATCGGCATGTTCTCATACACCGGGCTGGACGCCACACAAGCGAAGATACTCAGAGACGAATACAGCATCTACCTCCTTGACTCCGGGCGGATCTCCATCGCTGGCCGTGAGTCGTTGCTATCTCTCCATTCATCCCTACCTCCGCCTTCGCATTTCAGTTTTATCATGAGTTGTCCAAAATATGCACTGACTCATAGTACAGTCAATACAAAGAATGTATGCTATGTTGCGAGTGCCATTGATGCCGTCGTGCGGCGGCAAATATGACGAAGAAACACAAGATAAGTACAAGATCAAATCTAGATAGATAGAGGCTGGCTTCGTATGGCTCCACAGAGTGTGCTCGTTTTCCATCCCTTCCACCTTGGCCATGGCCCCCGTTATGTGGCCAAGTAACAAAAGAGCAAAAGCAGGCCGTATGCTGAAACGACGTCGGAAAAATCGGTCTGATATATCGTGTTCCTGCATGCTTTTTTCCTTTTTACGGTCTAAATATCCTCTAAGACGCACTCTGTGGCCATTTTCTAAACTCCTCTGAAGTGCTACCAAGGTATTTCCAGTCGCCATGCAGATATAGTGCATTTTCGTCGTTCAGCCGATTGATGACTAGTAGCATCCCTCTCCGTCTCCATCTCTCTGGGGTGTTTCTCCTTCTCCCCCTCTCTCTCTCATTAAAACAGTCTCACGCGATCCTTGATCGTAAACTCTGTCTCCATGTCCGGTTCTGGAACCTTGTTGGGTGACACACCATAGCCACCACCGCCAGGGGTCATGACAATTATGCGATCACCAACGTCCATGTGCACGCTGGCCTTGCCGCCTAGATTGATGGTTCGACACGTCGCGGTCTCTCGATCGTGTCGGATCCAGAGATTGCAGCCCCGTGCGCCGGCCTCACCACCGGCCATTCCGTATGGCGGAATCACGCGACGCTCCGACAGGATGCTCACCTGCAAGGGACGGCGCATCTCGATGTCGCGGACGCACCCGTCGCCGCCGCGAGTCCGGCCGTCGCCTCCGCTGCCCTTTCTGATGGAAAACTCGCGCAGAAGGACGGGATACCTTTTCTCCAGGGTCTCGGGATCCGTCATCCGCGTGTTGGTGATGTGTGTGTGCACGCCGTGCTGTCCTTCCCAGTCAGCCCCGGCCCCTGAACCGCCGGCGATCGTCTCGTAGTATCCAAACCCCTTGACCGTGTTTCCCTGGCCGTCGCCCCCGCCGTAGCCAAAGGTTAGATTGTTGCACGTGCCCTGACTGGCACCGGCGACGCGGAACGCCTTGAAGATGACGTCGACAATGCGCTGGGATGTCTCCACGTTCGAACCAACTGTCGCAGCGCTCAGGCTGGGCTTGAGGATGGAGTTGGGCGGACAGATCACCTCGATTGGGGTGAGACAACCTTGATTCAGTGGTATGTCCGCCGAGACCATGGTTCGAAGGCAGTACATGATACCACTGAACATGATCGCCGGTGGGGCGTTCAGGTTGTTCAGAGCTTCCGGTCCCGTGCCAGTGAAGTCGAATTTGGCAGAGCCGTCGTCAGGGTTGATGGTGATGTTCAGTACCAGGGCAGTCCCATCGTCAAGGTAGTCCACCGCGCGGAGAGGTCGCCCGCGGAATCGGCGGCTAAAGGCCTTGAGGAGGGCGCGAATCGTACTCTCGGCATTCTTCTGGATCCCGTCCATGTAGAATTGGATCACGGGCCAGGTATACTCGCGGATGAGACCCTGAATGAGGTGGATTCCCCGCTGGTTCGCGGCAATGCCAGCCTTGAGATCCGCGATATTGTCCTTCAATGTTCGTGTCCCCGAACAGCCGGGATACCGACTCGGGACATCAACCAAGTGGTGGATCAAGCCTACTTCGTCAAATGCCCCCTGATTGACCATCTTGAACGACTCGATGGCTGCTCCCTCCTGCCAGAGCTCGGTGGAATTGGGCGGCATCGAGCCGGCAGCTATCCCGCCGATGTCGGCGTGATGGCCTCGATTCGCGACGAAAAACAATATTTCGTTCGGCGTCTCTTCATCATCGAAGACTGGTGTGATGACGGTCAGATCCGGGAGATGTGTACCACCAGCGCAGGGATGGTTAGACAGCAAGACATCTCCCGGCTTCAGTTCGGCCTTCGCATACTTCTCTGCTTGGTATCGAATTGCGTAACTCATCGAGCCCAGATGGCCTGGAATATGAGGTGCGTTGGCAATTAACATCCCCCGAGCGTCGAAGACTGCACAGCTGTAATCGAGCCGCTCTTTGATATTGGTGGAGATCGATGTCTTCCGGAGCGTCTCGCCCATCTGCGCCTTCAAGTTAGCCACCACCTTGGAGTATCATCACCCTCTCGAACGAAAATCGTACCTGTTCAGCGACGCTCATGAACCGGTGCCCGAAGACAGACAGCCTGACAGGGTCAATTTCTTCAGTGCTGATCTTACGCATCTTCGCATCCTGCAACTCGATCAGAACATGCTCTGCAAGGATGCTTGCTTCGCTGTCGGGGTCAAGGACGATGGTCTGAGTCTCATCCACGACCATGGCGGGACCCCGGAATCTTGTGCCTTTTGCGACAGTTCCAAGATGATAGACCTTTGCATCCAACCAGCCTTGCTTCTCGAAATATACTTTTCGAATATCTTGCGGCTTCGGCTCCACTTGTCCAACAATCTGTTTTAACCTGGCAAATGGGCTGGGCGTCGGCAGCTCGACGCTTTTTCCAATTCCGCGGACTCGAATGTCATCGACCAGAATTTCCCTGGGTTGGTCAAACCCGAACTCGCGTCGGTGCCGCTCGACAAACATTTTGCCAAAATCGTCTGACTCTGGCATTGATTGGATCATCAGGGACGTGTCACTTCCTCTGTAGCGCATGTTGAGAAAAGTCTCGCACTCGATCCTCTCACCAGTGAAACCCTGAGCTACAAGCTGTCCTATCGCCCGCTGCTTCAAGAGGTCAAAGCGCTCTCGGATTCTGGTAGTAGCATCGCCGGAGTAGGTGATCGATTCGGGTTCTTGAAGGTCGACAACAACATCGGCAAGAGCCATGCCATAGGCGGA